CCAATTAAAATTAAAAATAATCAAATTATATCTAGAAACAGTGGAAATTCGACAAAAACCGAACCCAACAAAAGATCATTACCCTCCTCGCCCACAACACCTACATTGCATAATGTTTCTAAAAAAAAACCAAAATTATTTAATAATCGCTATAACGTACTCTCCGACCTTGATGATAATGGCGAGAACATTGACGTACACGGGTCACCCGGTCAGGAACCCACGGATACTACCGCACATACATTTGTGAAAGAAGTATTGCCGCCACCCATCTTTATTAAAGGAGTAAAAAATTTCACAGATTTGCTTTCCGAAATTACAAACCTAATTGAACGTAACAGTTTTATATGCAAATCGTCATCCACCTATCTAAAGATCCAAACGGAAAAACCTGAAGACTACAGAACTCTAATCCGTTTCCTAAAGGAAAACGATGCAGAGTTCCACACTTATCAGCTACAATCTGAAAAACCGTATAGAGTTGTTATAAGGAACCTCCACCCCACTACCTCAGTATCTGAAATCTCTTCAGCAATTGAGGAGATCGGTTTCGCGACTAGACAAGTCACAAACATTAGACACAATCTAACTAAAAACCCTCTCCCTTTGTTTTTTTGTTGATCTTGAGCCGGACTCAAGCAACCAAGAATTCTTTAAAGTCACGTCACTATTGCACACAAAAATAAAGGTCGAAGAACCGCATAAACGCCGGGAAATCCCCCAGTGTTTAAACTGTCAATCGTACGGCCACACCAAGGCATACTGTGCTTATGCCCCACGCTGTGTAAAATGCGCCGAATATCATCACACCTCAACATGCAACAAGTCACCAGACACTCCTGCTACCTGTGCCCTATGTAGCGGGAATCATCCAGCCAACTACAAAGGCTGCACCGTGCATAAAGAACTTCAAAGCCGTCGCCGTCAACCATCCACCACTACAAAAATCAATCAACATTATCAAAAACACCAGCACACTCCACATCCAGCCCAGCCAAGCAGTTCAACAGACAACCATCCGTCACTGAATCCACAGGGTAGATCTTATGCAAATGTCTCAGGTAACAACACCACACATAGCTCGCCATCAAATCCACCTCCTTCCATTGAGAATAATGCTCTTTCAAATTTTATAAACGAATTCAAGTCCATCATAAATCCCCTGATCACTCTCCTTACATCCTTAATAACTAAACTTCTCGCCACCCAACAAAATCCCTAATTCATATACTTCCAACTCTCTCCTCATACTTACGTGGAACGCAAACGGGCTCAATAGACATAAAAATGAATTACTAGCCACACTACAAGACAAAAGAATTGACGTTGCACTTATTTCTGAAACCCACTTCACCAACACTTCCATTCTTAAATTACCTGGCTATAAATGCTTTCACACCTGCCACCCTGACAACACAGCCCACGCTGGAGCAGCAATAATTGTCAGATCCACACACCAATTCTACCCTTTACATAATTACCAAACACCACATATACAAGCTTGTACCATATCTTTAACACTGAATCATCAACCTATTACAATGTCAGCAACTTATTGTCCACCACGTCACAATATAACATCAGATCAATTTAACGACTATTTTAATTATCTCGGATCAAAATTTATAATAGGAGGAGACATAAATGCTAAGCATATTCAATGGGGATGCCATACAAACAACCCCCGTGGCAACCTCCTACACCGCATCATAACACTCCAGCAATATAAAATACTCTCACCATCCTCTCCTACGTACTGGCCCAATTCACCCAGAAAAAGACCTGACATACTCGATATTTACATAACGAAAATCTCAAATAGTCTTAACTGTCATATAACAAACTTAAATGAACCCTGCTCAGACCACTCCCCCTTTCTGCTGTCAATTGACACATTACCACCTATTAAACCTCTCCCTCCGTCCCTCACGAATGGCCATATGAATTGGGAACACTTTCAACTTACTATAGATAAACAAATAAATCTAAAAACTCGTCTTAAATCTTCCTCTGATATTGATGATGCAATTAACTCGTTTACCACTTCCATCCAAACAGCTGCCTGGTCTTCGTCTACTCCAATACCACCAAAATCCACAAATCAAAACCTCCCTACCAACGTTAGACATCTAATTGCTATCAAGCGTCGCACCAGAGCTATCTGGCAAAGAACCCAGTATCCCTCTGACAAACGCCACTATAATAATCTTACACAAAAACTAAAACGCACCCTCTCCGAAATTCGAACAGAGAGTTTTAATAGACATCTCTCCTCAATCACCACAAAAGACAACTCGATATGGAAAGCTACAAAAAATATATTAAGAACTCCACAACAAATCTATGTTCTTAAAAATCCAGACGGTACCTGGACAACAAGCGATGAAGAGAAGGCAGACATTTTACGCGAACACCTCTCATCTACTTTTAAACCACACTACTCACTACTTAGTCCCATCAAAGTTGATGAAATAAACACATCCCTTGACTCTCCTTTGCCTATGACAATGCCACCCAAACATATATCTCCTCACGAAGTTGCATACCAAATTAAAAAATCACAGAAACACAAATCGCCCGGATACGATTTAATCACATCTGAAGTTGCAGTTCATCTCCCAAAAAAGGCGTTACTGTTCCTCACTTTTATTTACAATTCTATGATAAGGCTCACCTACTTTCCTTTACTCTGGAAATTTTCTATAATAATAATGATCCATAAACCAGGCAAACCAGCAGAAATGCCTCAATCGTATAGACCAATCAGCCTCTTACCCTACTTTTCAAAAATTTTCGAAAAACTGATTCTTAAACGTCTCCTACCAATCATAGAAAAAAACCTCCCCAATACTCAATTTGAGTTCAGGCATAATCACTCCACAATACATCAGATCCACCGACTTGTAGATAAGATATCCTTTTCTCTTGAAAAAAAGCTCATATGCACAGGAGTGTTCCTGGACGTCGAACAGGCATTTGATCGCGTCTGGCACCAAGGGCTCCTCCACAAAATTAAAGCATTTTTCCCTCCTTACTTGTATCTACTTATTAAATCATATCTCAGCGATCGCCACTTCTCTGTGCGTTCAGGAACAATTCTTTCAAATATTTCTAAAATAGAAGCTGGTGTCCCGCAAGGTGCAGTTATTGCTCCACTCCTTTTTAACATCTACACAGCGGATCAACCCACTACTCAAAACACAATAGTAGCCGACTTTGCAGACGACAAAGCGCTACTTGCATGCCACTCTGACCCAGACATAGCTGCCTCCTATATGCAAACCCATCTTGACCTACTAGCCTCATGGTACACAGTATGGGGCCTAAAACTAAACCAAACAAAATCGCTCCACTCTACCTTTACACTACGCCCCAGAGACTGTCCACAACTTTTCCTCAATAATCAACCTCTACCCTACTCTCAAAACGTTAAATATCTTGGACTAACCCTAGACCGCCGGCTCACATGGGCTCCTCATATACGCTCCAAACGTTTAACGCTAAATAATCGTAGTCGTCAACTAAGACACCTACTGACCTCCAAACATATTAATCTGAATAACAAACTTCTCTTATACAAAATGCTACTTAAACCAATTTGGGTCTATGGTATACAGCTCTGGGGATCAGCAAAACCTACTAACATCAATAGAATACAAACCTATCAATCCAAAACTCTAAGACAAATCACTAAAGCACCATTCTACGTTTCCAATCACACACTTCATCACGACCTCTCCATACCCCTTGTTGCAGACGTGGCAAAAATACACTACAAAAGATTCCATAACCGTCTTTTAAATCATAGAAACCCACTCATGCACGATATCTCTTCCTTGACTATCCCTGGAAATCCTCCCAAACGGCTAAAGCGCAAGTGGTGTAGAAACCTACTGAATAACTAAATTTTAAAACTCATGTTTTTTTTTTTTTTTTCTTCTTACTTCCTCAATTGTTCTTATTGTTCTTTTTTGTAACAGATTGAATAAAACATTTAATAAACAAAAAAAAAAAAAATGATCAAAATCGTCTTGTCCACACCATGATCCAATCTAAATATATATATCCAATATATCCAATATATATCCAATTCTATCATATCTAGTAAAATAGAAGCGTATTAAAATAATTAGTTTCATTTGAATTATAATTTTATAACTCTGATAATTGCATACACATAACAATGATTATACAATAAAAGTAAACTTACCTATTTATTTCACTGTTATAAATGCTTCGAACTGACGATGTTGTAATTTTATGATCAAGACCTCTTTCACTGATTGCATCCCTCAAGAATGGTACATCTAAGTCAAATCTAAGTAACAAGAAATTGTATAGAGGTTTAGATTATTATTAAATATAATCGCTGAAAGTTTTCTCATGAAATAATCGCAGGTGATTCTTAATGTTAGGTCCTAAACAATAACCAAAGTGATAATGATTTATAATTTTAAAATGTAATCAGTAAAACCGTTAAATACATAAAATACATAAACACAGTATTGCCTAATTCTTTGGCGTTAAATTCCTGGCAGTAAAAATTTGGATTCCGAACAGTTGGTGTATCATTATAAAATGCTTTCTTATCATTTTTATCTCTTATCAATGAGGAGAACTGACCCAAGCCCGCATATACTTACCCATATAACTGTCCCGTCCCCCTTCACTTTAACCACTACTCACCTCGATTTTGCGACTTGATGCCGTGTGATTTTTATAGGGATACACTAAGTCACGAGTTTACCAGAACAAAGTTCGAAATATCTTGGAACTTAAGTAAGAAATTCGTCGTGTCCTCAAGAAATTTGATGGCGCAATATGTTATCCAGTGATGATACATTTTATGGAAAAAATAATCGCCTGTAGGGCTAGTAGTGAGGGTCATTTTCCCAATATTGCTTTTCACTGTTAAGCCTTAACTTCTGAATATAATGATATATTTATAATGTTTTTATAAAAGATATAAATTTAATTTATAGCAAATTAAAATCCTGCGTTCTTTTTTGAGACACCTTATGTATATCTGTGTTAATTCCGTCAATGAAAAAGATGATAAGTGATAACACCAATGTCAATACATGCTCAAGGTGATTGTGTATGTGTAGTATACTTATCTATGAGTGCGGTGTATATAATTAACCTCGTGTGTTCTGTAGTTAAATTTCAGCAAGAATATTAACATGCCAAGTGGTTGAAATTTGTTTGAAAATAGACAAAATTAATGTGAAGTTTTTTCACCTATAACTTGCTCTTTTTACTGTAGTAATTCTCTCTAAGAATTTACTATGGCAACAATTTTACCTTTACCTAGTAAAACTGTCATTATTGGAAGTAATGATTTCCAGTCACTTATAAATGGGGTACGGCTAATACATTTAGGATCGACAAAGAAAGAAGATACTGTACTCGAGATTAAAAGTAATACTCAAATTGTTTTGTACATACAGTGTTACAGATATAAATTTTTTTATAATTATAAATTTCAGATTTGGGAGATGCTAAACATTGTTCATTGGGCTTGTACTGTACAACTTGTCAAATAGCTTTTGAGCTATCCGAAGAACATAGAGCTCATTATAAATCTGATTGGCATCGATATAATTTAATGCAAAAAATACATAATAAGCAAACAATAGATGAACCAAAGTTCCTTGCCTTAGAAAGTATTTTATAAATTTTATTTAATCTACAATAAAATCCATAGTTTTTTTGTGCCTTGAAATTTAGGTAAACAAATTTAAGAAATCTAAAAAAAATCTTTGACAATTTAGAATTTTCATTTCAACCCACTTCTACCTAATTATATTGTGAATATTATACTTAAAGTACTTGAAACTTATTTAAAGCAGAAGTTTTCTTTTAATATTATTTTTTTTCTTTGGCTTATTTCCTTTTCTATTTAATTGTTATATCTACTAGCTACACATTTTGTATTGTACTTTATTATTATAAATGTATATTCTCTACTTTGGGCAGCGGCCCGTATTAAAATAAAATAAAATAATAATATTAGTTGGTACTGATTAAAGTTATAAAATTGTTATGAAAAATAAATATTTAAAACAATTTCTTTTTTTGACATATATTTAGGTAAAGCTAATGACAGCTTGTCTAGCTGTGAAAGTGATGATGAAATCAATGCATACAATTCTCATTTTTCAATGGATTCGAGAATATTTTTCGAAAATAATAATGGAAATGCTTTTTCAGTATATAGATGTTTGTTGACTAATAAAAAAGTAAAAAAAAAAATTATTGTCAAACATAGTAACTTAAAGTTTACATATTTCTAATTCTTATTAAATAGGACATTCCGAATGAAGAAATCATTGTCAATTCATTGACGTCTATTAATTCTAAACAAATGTGGTTTATAGTTATGTTAGGAGGAGGACGTTTTTCCGCAGCTATATTTAAAGGTTTTTATCTATTATTATTGTCTCTACACATGATAATAATTAAAAATATCTTTTGGTGTAGGTAAAGAAGCAATTGTTCATAAAACATTTCATTCCTATACTGTTCGGGCCAAACAAGGTGGATCTCAAAGTACACAAGATCGATCAAAAGGTGGATGTAAAAGTGCTGGAGCAAGTTTACGTAGATATAATGAAGCATCTCAATTAAAAGTATAATATTCAAAACTTAGTTGTTATTATTTATAAGTATATAATGAGAAATTATTTTGATTAAGCATATTCAAGAAATATTGACCTCATGGCTGCATCATATAAAAATATGTGACCATATATTCTATCGAGCGATTGGTCCACATAATCGAAATATTCTGTTTGGTGGTTCAAATCCACTTATAAATAAGAATGACTGTAGGCTATGTCAAATACCTTTTGGAACTAAAAAAGCAACTTTTGGCGAAATTCAAAAAGTTTGTAACCAATTATCAACAGTTTTAGTATATGGTAATCATTAGAAAATCATTTTCAATTTAATATTTATTCTATACAATTTTTTATTTTTCACAGACTCAAAAGAAATTATCAACAATTCTATTCAAAGTTATGTATTAAAATTATTTAAAAAGAGAAAAATTAAAAAATCAAATTTAATTCAAACCAAAAAAACTATAGACAAGCATATAGAACAAAATCAAAATTTAAACAAAAAAAACTCTATTGATGTTCAGTTATCTTTATCATCTGGTAAAATATACTTTGTTTAAAAATGTATACTATCTTTAATTTTAATAAGGCATGAATTATCGTAGTGTAAAGGTCTATTTGTACTGTCTTGGGTCGTATTAAGGTCGGATCCGTGCCAGAATCTTTCTGGCTGAAAGAAAACAATTATCTATTGTGTTTTAAGCATGATTTTTCTTACTTATCTGGGTTGTGTTTATGACCGGTGTCTATACTCAATTTGGGTCTAAATAATATTATAGTCAAAATAGTATAATTTTAATAATTGAATTGTCATTACTTTCAATAATAATATTTTTTTGTTCAATATGAATGGATTTTAAAAAATGTATTGAATTATATGAGTAAGTATCATTGAGTACATCAAGGCTTGTCTGAATTTAGCCATCCCAAGTACAATAATGCAACTTAGACCTAAAATGGAAAGAGATTGGCCAAGAACTTAAATGTTGAAACTTGGGTTTTTACTTGCTTTTTAATAAAAAAATCTAAGGTTAAATTTACTAGACTATATGTAGTGCCAATTAACACGTGGTTACTAATTTCAATGTCTGGCTTTAACTTATAACAAAATATCTTATTTACATGAACAGGGCACTAGATAGTATGTATACCTTACCAGACTATGCAAAAACTGATGCAGTCCCAAGGCAGTAAGACTAAACCTTAATTGTCTAATATGGATATTTTGTAAGATTCTCAATTAATTTAATCATCATTACTTTTTTTTTTTTTTTGTTAAATTATGAATTACAACAATTTTATCTCAAAAATATTGAAATTATAAAAATTATACTATATTAAAAGTTTGATTTGACTGTGTGAATTAACATGTATGTTTTGTATTTTAGATTTTAGTGAAAGTGACATTGAATATGAAAGTTTAGAACCTCCTCAAAGTAATATATTATGTGAAAATAATAGCAATGTTCAACCAAATATCATGAAGATTAAAAAACAAAAGAAAAGAAATAAAAAATCTAAAGACCTAATTCCTAAATGTGCTGAAGTAGAAGAAGTAAAAAAACTTTTGTTAGAAAAAATTGAAGAAAAAGATATTGAAGCTTTAAATAAATTTATTTTGTTGGAAGAAACAAATAGTTTTGTTACAAAAGAATATCTTGAAAAAAGTTTAAATGAAGCCATTGATGATAAAAATAATACTGTTCTTCATTTAACATCAATTAACTGTCTTCATGGTCATATTTAGTAAGAAAACAGCATTTATTAGTTATTTTAATTTTATTAAATTGTTATAATTATTTTAATATTTTAATTTCTTCAGTTTACTTTTAGAACATGGGTCAAATCCAATTCATAAAAATAAAGATGGAAAAACTCCTTACGAATTAGCACCTGACAAAGCAACCAGAAAGGTGTTTAGGAAGTTTATGGCTGTATTTCCTGATAAATATGATTACAATAAAGTAAATTTATATTTACTGTATAATTATTCTTATTTTACTTATTTTTTCTTTTTAAGGCTCGTTTACCAGGACCTTTAACTAAAGAATTGCAAGAGGAGTTAAGAGAAAGAAAAAAAGCTAAACAAAAACGAGCGAAAGAAAGGAAAATTGTTGAAGAATTGAGAAAAGAAGAAGAAATTGAGAAGCAAAAGTATCTTCAACTTTCTGATCGAGAAAAAGTAATTATTTATTATAGTTCGTTCAAATTCAATATGGTATAACATTTATTTCAATTTCAGTGTGCAATAGCAGCAGAAAAACGATTTACAATGAATCAATCAATAGGAAAAGCTGTGCGATGTTTTTATTGTGGTAAAAATATAGAAAATAAATTTCCATTTGAGTATATGGATTATAAATTTTGCACTGTGCAGTGTGTTAAAAATCATCGACAAAAAAATATTGTATTTTAAAAACTTGGTCTTTTATAAATATTATACAATTTTATATATTGTCAAAATTATTCAATAAAGTATATATTTTTTATGTGTTTTTATTTTTATATATATAATATTTAAATATATTATAATTCTTAATTTAATTCATAAAATTTATGTGTAAGAAGTAATCATTTAAAATCTTTGTGATAGCATGCAATAGTTTACAGATTTCATTTCAAACTGAGTAAATATTAACAGTTGGATATCCTGAATTAAATTATAGGGCTCATGGTGATATAATGATGCTGTATTAGAAGCATAATTAATGGGAGTAAGAGACATGGATCCTTCCCAGAGCCTAACTTTAATAGTATTTTGTATTATTCTATTTTTGTAATATGTACATGACTGTTTTTATATTTGAAAATAATCTAGGAAATTAGATTAAGTCTTTCAACAAACTATAATATAAATTATAACATTATTTAGTTGACAGAGTTTCTTAAAAATAATAATTCTCTCCAAAAAAAAAAAAATTTATAATAACGTCACTGCGCTGTATTATATAGACAATTCTAATTAACAGAAATTAATTATACAGTATTCAGATAAATTGGATGAGATTGTTGTTGTAAATTATAATAACAAGTCTACATACCTAAATCGATATAATGTTTTACCGCAACTCTGATAATTAAACCCAAAAATTATATCAACATAGATTTTATACAATTCATTCGGAATTTGATTACAGTAATATAATAATAATATAGTTGATAGTTTTCTGATGATTTAAATTTTAAAATCTACACTTTTGGCGGGAAATTATAAATATTATCTCATGTTGCAACAGAGACGTACGTGATTTGTCAAGATAAAAATCTGTTTCTTATCAATTTGATGATTTATTTACAGAAATACAATAAATTATTCTATTGTTATCTTGTCTCGAATAATTCAAAGTATGGGAAGCGAAGGATTATAATTTTATGTTGATTGATTCCCGATAATCTGGACGGAATATAAGTGATTATTAGATATTTAACAGGTGCATTTTGAATATCCTGAAAATGGCAGGTGAAGTAATCGTCGACGCTCTTCCATACATCGATCAAGGATATGATGAGCCGGGCATTCGCGAAGCTGTAATTATCTTAAAAAAATATTTTTTTTTAGTAGTTAGAAAGTTAAAATAATATTTCTGTCTGTTATGCAGGCAATTAGTATGGTAGAAGATGAAAAACGTCGATACAGGCCTTCAAAAAATTACCTTGAACATTTGCCACCGCTCAACATTTCAGCATTTGAGGCAAGTTTTTTGTTTTTCTATTAGTCAATTAAATTCATAATAATCATTGTCATATGTACACATTATTGCTTTAAAATTAAATTTTTTTAACTGTATAAGCGCATTAAAAATCTACATCCAACATTAAACATTTATAAAATTACAATTTAGACTGAGATGATGCGCACTGAATTTGATAGACTACAACAACGTTTACCTATGGAAACCATGAGTATGAAACGTTATGAGTTACCTCCACCACCAGCTGGTAAACTTACAGATATGTCTGCTTGGAATGAGTGTTTGGAAAACTCAATGGCTCAACTTGAACACCAAGCTACTAGGTTAGGTTATAAATAAATATATAATTTAATAATTATAGATATCGTTTGTGTCTATATCAATTATTTTATTTGCAGAATAACTAATTTAGAATTAATGACTGATTATGGTACAGAAGCGTGGAAATCTTATTTAGAAATTCTTGTGAAATGTGTTGCTGCTGCTCAGACACAATTGGCTAAATTAAAGTATGCCTACATTTTTAAAACTGTTTTGTGTGCTTACTATCAAAAATGTATATTTCAGAAAACAGATTCAAGAAGTAAATTTCCAACGCAAAAACGTACAAATGCAGGTTGGAGAGAAACTGCGGGATTTGGAAGCCAATTGGGTAGGATTAGTGAGCAAGAATTATGAGATAGAATTAGCATGTGCACATTTGGAAAAACAATTAAGAGCGTATGAACAAGCTAATCCAGAATGTATGGACACTAAATAAATATATTTTTGTAATTTCTATGTAGAGCTATGAAGTCATAACTATTTTATAAGTATTAAAAACTACTATGGTATAGAATTAGTAATAAATTAAATCATATCATCTTTCACAATTTTTTATTTCCATGTAAAAAAAAAAAGTATAAAATATATATTAAAAAATAAAGCATTTTGCCTACATTAAACTTATATACTATATTTATATTACACATAAAAACACTTGAGTATCAAATATGTTTATGAAAAATTGCACTTAGTATGTAAATTATTATATAATTTGATTTGTTGGATTTTAGTATTTTGCAAGTATAAATTAAATATTAAATTAAGTTATTTTACTAAATCTAGGATTATTTGAGTATTTTAATATTATTTTCTAGTGTAACAATATTAATAAAATTGTACTTTGTAAAAATTTAAAGGAACAAAAATAAAGCCAAGCAATACTCATTCATTTCAAGCAAAAGTTTTGCGTAAAATATCGCACAAATAATATGAGCCATTTGCTTAGTCAATCAGAGTAATTTATAAAGTAGTTTCATTTCTCTCAACATTTTTCTTACAGCTTTCGTTATTCATAATAGTTGATTCTAGTATGGCTATTCTTTCTTTTAACATTTTTACCTAAATAAAAAATCAATTAAAAATAGTTCCAGACATAAAATTAATATTTTCAATAATTTATATATACATATATTATTAGGTACCTGCAGAGTATGTGTGCTAACCATAATTTCAATTTCAGATTCTAATTTTTTTAAACGCGATTGGGATTTGCGTTTAGCCCTTTCCAAATTACGTTCAAGTGTGCTATAATTTAAAAATATTTTTAATTTGTATAAACTTAAAAAATTACATTACAGTAAATGTTTCAATCTTACGTATTTTCTGTACGAAGTTTTTCAATCAAAGCTATATTTTGTTTATGCCTGGTTTCAGAATTTCTTGTTGCTAACTGATAAGCAGTAGTAACATCTTTTAGTTGTTTTTGTAGCTTTACGTTTACACCAGCAGTACTATCATAGTCTTCAGCTGACAATTGTCTTTCCAATGCTTTAATTGTTTCCATATCAATTCTAGAGCGTTCTTCGCACTCCACTAAATGTTTTTCCACCTCTGAATTGTGTTTTTGCAACATACAATATTTATCTTGTAGTTCACATTTTTCTTCTCGTATTCCCATTAACTCTTGCACAAGTACTGCCATTTCTAAATCAATACGAGTTACTTGATTATGACTCCTAGGTTTGAGTATCTCTTCTTCACAATGATAAGATTCTAAAACAACCACTGTGGATCCAACTTTTTTCTTTTCTTCATGCAATTTATGTAATAATTCTATAATTTCATCTTTCATCCTATTCCATTAAAATTAATTTATGATAATTAATTTTAATATATTAGTTCATAAATGAGAAGCAAATAAAGATTAATAATTACAATTTTTCTTCTTCACTAGCTGAACCATCATAAATGGATAATAAAGATGAATAACAGTTCATTATTTCTTCACCTGTTTCTACCTCTAATTTTAATGCTATCATGTTTGATTCATACTTTCCCAGTAATAAGTATAACCTATAATGAATATATGATTATATTAAAATTGTTTTTCATTAACACAAAATTATTTACAATAGAGGTGTAGAGTCAATTTTCCAACTTAAATATTTACTCCATAAAAAATAATTTTTTTTTGCTCATAATATTTAAATGTTTCTTTTTAATAGAGTAACTAAAGCCATATTTAGAGTTTCTGTCTTGTTAATTTTAACAAAATGTTAAAATTAAAAAATTAAAAACCTTTTAAAATTGTACATTGATTGTTAATATACACTTTATTAATATATATAAGCCAAATGTATATAATATATTGTTATTCATTATTAATTGATAATCTACATCTCTTTTTTCCTCAATTGGTGTGAATATTGAACATATAAAAACTACTATTTCATATGTTTTACTTATTTTATTATATACAAAAACACCATTCCATTGTTGAAATTTGTAGCTCCTACGCGGAAACAACCACTAGATATTGCTGTTATACTTTGCATAATCAATTTGATAAAAACACATTTACAACAATAGAAATAACAACTATAATAATAAGTTTTATTTTTACTGTTGAATACCTCTTGAATAAGATGAATGCAAACAATTATAGTGAAATCTAGTTGTTGTCTCCACATAAGAACTATATAATTTTACAATAAGATGGTGTATTTGAATATTGTAAAATCAATAATAGTAAATTTTTTAAATTGAATTTATCAAACTTTTAATTATTATTTAAACAACTTTACTTATCAGTTTGGGCAGCTGATTGTTCAAACATAAGTTCAAGAACTGCCATTTGTGAACGTACATGATCCAATCGTGTTTGCAGTTGTTCTACTTGGTGTATTAAAGTCTCTTTATTTTCAGGCTCTAATAAATCACAATCAGAAATAACAGCTGATGCTAGTTGTTCGGCGATAGCCTTTTGAAAAATCTACAATACCGAAATTCATATTTAAATATAAAAAATTTAAATTTATTAATATTCAATACTCATACACTTGTGCCTTCAAGATTAGCTTCTGCACTGTCTTCAATAAGCTTTTGCAATTTAACTTTTTCAGCTAATTTTGATGTCTCCAATAATAATCGAGATGGAGACATTGGACCTGATGAAAAACTGCTTTCTGTATCCTGCAACTACAATCATCAAAAATTATATTTTATATTTAACTGTGTATAGATATGTTATGTTATGTGTAGGGTAAATATAAATATTGAGAGTTATAGAACAATAGTACTATACATTTAAAAATATATATATATAATATATACAATAGTAAAAATATTATGATGTGAAAAATTATATATAAAGGACATATTTACCTTCATAAATAAATCATTTTTTTCATCGGTAACTTCTTTTAAAATTTGTTTTGTTTTCTTTAGTTCTTCTTCTTTTAAAGCTAATTCAGTATGCACATCATTAAAAATATGTTTCTTGGTTTCATGATCATCATAAACAGCATTATCACCCTTAAATCAAGGTGTTTTTTTTTGTAATCAAACAATATTTTTTTTCATTTTATCAATATAAATATAAACATTTTGGAAATAGATTATTTTTACATACTTCTTTTGACAAAGAAATGGATTCTTGAATAAATGATGATGTTTCAATGCTTTGTCCATCTATTTCTAAAGTACAAAAAACTAAAGTAATTCTAATAAATAATATTTTATATTTAATATACCAGATTGGCTTTCTTCTATTTCTTCAGTGATAACTTGAGATCTTTGAACTTGTAATTTACGAGCAAGTTCTGCAATAACTGAATGCAATTCAGTTATTCTTTCTTCATATTTCTGTTTAATATCATTTTCAGTAGTAATCTGTACAGTGATTATTTATTTTAATACTATTAAAAATATCTTTTATTAGAATAGTTACTTTGATTTGATTTATGGATGTTTCAAGAACTTCATTATTTTCATTAGCTAATTGCAATTGTTTTGTCAAATCAGATATCTCTGATTTTAATGACTTTAATGCAGCCAGATGTAACTAAAATATAAGATTTAAATAATTTATTGACTTGGGTTATATTAGATAAAATAATCATAATATAATTCCCATTAATGGAAAATTAATGAAGAATCTCAACTTAATCTATTTCTACATCATATATTATAAGCTGATGTACAAGTAATGCTAACACTTTATTATTACATTGTAATGTAATATGAATCTGAATATAAAATTTAATATGTATTAAAAAAATTAATTAATAAAATAAACTATGTTTTAATAAATGACATAAAATAAATGGTATTTACTTAAATCTTACTTTGTTAGCAAGGTGTAGTAAATTGCCGGAGTTTGCTGATCCTCCTGTTTGCAACAAATGTTGCATACGAATAGAATTTGGTTCAGGGCTTAAATCTCTAGCCCCACTATCAAATTCCCAGCTCTCATGTTTACCACCAGATAATGCTCCTAAAATGTATTTATTTAAAACAGCATACAAGTTAATAGTTATTAATAGTTAATACATATTAATAATGTCTAATTAATATACCTAGGCTATTATCACTACTAGTGGGTAAATATTCTGGCAATGGATCATAGCTATGGATTTGTAATGCATTGATTTCGGTTCGTAATTCCAAACGTCGCCTAACAAACTCATCAAATGATATACGACCGGTTTTATCAGCCCCCAGTTCTTTCATCAAATCATCGACACTATCTTCTAGATTTAACTGCCGACATATGGTTAACAAATCTCCACTGAAAATAAAAAACAATTTTAAGACCTAAACAACAAATAAAGTAAATACCAATTTGATTCTATGTAAATTAAAAAATTAATTATCCAGACTTCCATAATAAAATAGAAAAATATTAAATTAGTGATGAACAAATTATAATATACAAAATAAAATTTGACATTAATTATACTACTCATTTATTAAGTTAATAAAATTATAATGAATATATCTAAACAAAATAAAATTACATTCTATCAATCACGTACTGTTTTAATGAATTTTAAATTTAGGGCTAGAATAAAATTACAGAAGAAAAACAAATATACTACAATCCTAAAGGAAGCGTGTCTGATTTATACCTATCAATGTAACCGTCGCCATCACCGTCACAGGCTTGGAAAAGTTTCCTCGCCCGTTCTTCTTCACATAATGAACTAGTCTCCACACTTTCAGACACCGATTGTTCCTCATCCATAATAATTTACTCAATAATAACACGCTTAAATAGCCAAATCCATCAGGACATTGTTTTTACGTCAATTTTTTCGTTCAAACGAAAGAGAATTTTTGTAATGTTTATTACAATTAATCAGTCGACTTATTTTATTAAAACTTAACAACAATTTCGCTGATAACAAGTATAAGTGTGATAGGTTAGAACCATGGTTATGGATTCTCTTTAATCATGGTTAGGTAAGAACATGATCTTTAAAGAACAGACCACGGTCTTAGAAAATAAAAAATAACTTACCTATACCACAGATTATATTAAACTTATAAAACTTTAACTTATTAAGATTATATTATTATTATATTATTACTAGCTGACCCGACAAACGTTGTTTTGTTGTATAAATTATTTCTAGAGAATATTTTGCTAGAAAAAAATAATTAATTTAATATAAGTGTGTAAGGACGTGATACCTATATACAAAATATACAATTAAAAAAACATTAAACATTAATTTTTTTAATAATTTATTAAAATTGATCCTTTATAATTATACCTATATATCGCCAATTATGACAATTTTAGTAAAAAACAATGTCAATCCCTTAATACAACAGAGTGTACAATATTTTTTGTTATCCTATTTTTCGTCAACACAAACTGGATGGTTCGAGAGCACGCCACGTATAACATCGTTTGGCCTTGAGACTTATTGATAGTCATTGCAAATGCCAATCTAATTGAAAATTGAAGGCGTTTAAATTGTATTGGGATATCTGGATTAGGTATAATAGGGATTTATTTTCCCCTCGGAATTTACCATTTAAAATGATAGCTTCGATAACATTTTTCATTAATTTTTTAATGACTAATCGCGTGCCGTAGTGGGTTCAAATTACGAAGAAAAATAACCGAAGATCCAACCTTCAGTTGTATATTATGCAATGGCATGCCTGGTAAATCCAATATGTTTAAAAAATCTGTGAGATAATTTACAGCTTCAGTAGCATTGCAAACTATATCAATAGATTTGTATGACACCAAGTCTCCTGGTAACACATTTTGTATCTTGAGATTTAATTCGTTGACATCCACATTTTTTGCTGCTAAAATTGCTCTTTCTGCCAGCCACTCACGATTTATATATTGTCTGTGTACATTGGGAAATATCTGGTCAATAAGAGCATCTTGCGAATCAATGATTGTGCAGAAATCGGTCGGTAATTGTATGCATCCCGTTTCCTTTGTAGTAACTTTCCCATCGCCGATATCTAACAATTGTTTTGAGAATCTTCCACGCGTAGCTTTTTTTGATTGAATCGCAAGTATCGTAATCGTTCGCTCTCTATCTTTACAAACATGTTGACCTTGAATTGTTGATATTGAGTAAAATCGGTTTATAAGTAGATACAGACACGTTAAGGTTAAATTAATAAACAATTTAATATCATGAATAATAAAATGATACGCAACGCACATCGTACAACGGCAACCGGTCGCATATCTCGACAGGCTGCCTCCGTATAGCTGTGTTATAATATTTGTATATATGCCACACTCGACAAAGAGAATGTGCCATCTCAACATTAATTGCTGACTATACTAATGTATATATATACTTAAAACTACAGTATGAATATAAACTAATACATACTAAATAGACTGGGTGTATTGTTTAATTTCAACAGTTGATAAAGCTCACGACATCGTAGAATAACGTTGTCCTGATCGCATCTAATCATCAACCGATAGGCATAATAATCCTTCGAACTAACATTTTTGTTTGTTTTGTCACCTTTTGCGGGATCATGTTTAATATTTATGCAATACCCGTAATTTAATACCAAAAATAAAATTAATAGTTTTTAAAAAGTTTTTTCAGAGTATCATTAAATAATTTATTTTCATTTGCGCAATAATCGAGCTAATCAAAAATTAGTAAATTAAACTACGATTCATTAAATAATAGCACTTAGGAGTATAAAAAATAGATAAAAACCTATTCGCAGACCTACCAAATGTATATACAAAATTTCATTAAAATCGGTTAAGGGGATTCCACACTATCGCTTATTAGAGTAAAATAGACCTATACGCGTTCCAACGTACCAACTTGAGTTTTACTCCTATAATAATTTTAAAAACATATATTAATTTATTATGAAATCTATTTTGAATCCTTCGAATCAGAATCATAAAAAAAGAATTTAAAAAATATTTATATCCATTTAAATTTTCAAGAATATAAGATTTTTTTTCTAAATTTCAAGTGAAGTTTTTTCTTTTTAAGAATAATAAATTAAAAATGTGGCTCGAAGGATCCAAAGTTGATTGAACAACAAAACAAAATTTGTTTTCAAAATTATTATAGGAGTAAAACTCAAGTCTGTATGTTGGAATTCGTTTAGGTCTATGATTTACAATATTTCGTCATGAAAAAGATTCGTTGTTGGACATTATGTGTCATGTGCATGCGAGTGCGCAACGCTTATCTAGCTCGCCGCCGCCGTCGCGTACGTCGCTAATGAATTATCGGAAATCTAAATATAATAATATGTTCATATAAAAATAAAAATATACTACAATCCGATTATTACCGATAGGCGATAATGATCGAAGATAAAATTATTGCCGCCGTCGCGGACTATATTATTATATTATATTGTGTACATGGCGCTCGCGCATTCACGCTCAAATATAATTATTTACATTTACTTTATGTTATTATAATATTAGATGATATTGTCAGCCATCAAGTCGATTATCAGATCTTTATTTTTTAGTGCACCTATAATAGTAGCATATAGTTGTGTAGTTATATAGTTATAGTTGCACTTAGTTTTTGTAAATCCAAAAATTTTCCAATTTTTTAAAATGGGAAAATTTAAAAAAAAGTGTTTGTCGAAACGAAAAAAAATGAAAGGCAATATATTAAATTTCCAAAAGAAAACAATGGAGATATCAAACGACGGCTTAGTTGATTTGTAAGTTAATTTATATTGAATTATTTATTTTAAGTTTTGAGTGAAGCAAGTTTGTGTTATGCTATACAGTATGTCTCAAAATTCCAGTACGACCCCGAGGATCTCGACACTAACTCAATATTTTTGAATGAGGTTTTTTCGAAAATAAACCATGGTAAAAATTCCAATTTCAAATTTTTTGTTAATTTGAATGTTTTTTTTCAATATAAAATTATTGTTGGAATATATGATTTTAAATTAATATCGTAAAATATTTTTTGTAACAATAGTTGGTTTATTGATATATTTTCAGTAATTATATTGAAATACGGAGGACCACTGGTTTTCCGTTATCGCGCCGCCGCCGTCGTCTCAATTTATCTGGCAACGACTGTACTTTATTACCTATTTATTTTATTATCTACTAGCTGACCCGACAAACGTTGTTTTGTCATATAAATTATTTCTAGAGAATATTTTGCTAGAGAAAAATAACTAATTAAATATAGGCATGTAAGAATGTGGGTAAGGATAAGGATGTAAGAGAGATATATGGCGTGCTATGAATGGTAACGAAATATAAAAATGAAAAAACATCAAACATTTATTTTTTTAATAATTTATTAAAATTGATCCATTAAAATAATATATATCGCTAATTATAACAATATTAGTAAAAAACAATATCTATCCCTTAATTCAACAGAGTGTACAATATTTTTTGTAATCCCATCTTTCGCAAACACAAACTGGATGGCTCGAGAGCACACCACGTATAATTATCCGTGTGAAAAATATGATGTGCTCAAATCTAAGTAAGCTACAGACATTGTTTGGCTTTGAAACTTATTGATAGTCATTGCAAATGCCAATCTAATTGGAAATTTAAAGCGTTTAAATTGTATTGGCACATCGTGGGTATAATAGAGATTCACGGTAATAATATATTTTCACCTCGGAATTTGCCATTTAAAATTATGGCTTCGATAACATTTTTCATTAATTTTTTAACAACTTATCGCGTGTCGTTGTACAACCGTGGTAGGTCAAATTATGAAGCAAAATAACCGAAGAACAAACCTTCAATTGTAAATTATGCGGTAGCATGCCTGGTAAGTCCAATGAGTTTAAAAACTCTGTTAGATAATTTACAGCTTCAGTAGCATAGCAAACTATATTTATAGATTTGTATGACACCATGTCTCCTGGTAATAAATGTTTATCTTGAGATTCAATTCATTGACGTCCACATTTTTTACTACTAAAATTGCCCTTTCTGCCAGCCACTCATGATTTATGTATTGTCTGTGTACATTGGAAAATATCTAGTCAATGAGAGCATCTTGCGAATAAATGATTGTGCAGAAATCGGTCGGTAATTTTATACATTCCGTTTTATCTGTAGTAACTTTCCCATCTCCAATATTTAACAATTGTTTTGAGAATCTTCTGCACGCAGCTTTTTTTGATTAAATCGCAAGTATCAAAATCGTTCGCTCTCTGTCTTTACATACATTTCGACCATGAATTGTTGACGAAGCTCATGATATCGTAGAATAATTTTGTCTTGATCTCGTTTAATCATCAACCGATATGCACAATAATTTTTCGAACTAACATTCTTATTTGTTTTGACACCTGTTGCGGGATCTTTTTTTGTTTAATATTTATGCAATAACCGTCATTTACTACCAAAAATAAAATTAATAGTTTTTAAATAGTTTTTTTTATAGTTTTTTAATAGTTTTTTAATAGTTTTTTAATAGTTTTATTTAATAATTCATTTTCAATTGTGCAGTTATCGACCGGGTCAAAAAGGGCTATTTTTAGGGTTTTTCCAGCAATAATTCTAATTTTTCTCGCCGTAAAAACCATCCTTGAACTTCAACGAACATTTGAAAAAAAGATTTGGCCAAATTGGTCCAGGCGTTGTTGAGTTATGCGCTTACCAACACATTTTGCGATTCATTTTTATATTATAGATAAAAAGTAAAATCAAAAATATAATACTGTGCTTTAAAAGACAATAACTATGTTTGGTTCGAGGTTTATAGATTAACTTTTAACCTTAAGAATTAAATTGTTTCCTAAAATTTCTTAGACTTCGAATATACCCATAATGTTTGGATAATGTTATGTAATATGAAGTAAAATATATTACAACCATAGACCTTATACTATTACCTTATACCTAGTATAAGGTCTATGATTACAATTTAAAATTAGAAAAGTTCTGCCTACTTATAATATCTTTGGAAGTAAAAACAAAATGGACGCAACGATGACTCATCACTTGTATGGGTGTTTACTTATCAGTTTTGAAGAAATAATGTAAACATTTTATTATTCTTTATGTACTTTGTTATTTTGTATATGTTAATTGATGACTGTTGTATAAAGAATGTTCTTTGATGATATCATCGTTGCTGATTAGTTCATTTCCTATAAATCGACATCTATATCTTAGTATTTGTCATAGTATTTGTTATAGTGACATTACATTAGATATTACAATTTAAAATTTCAAATAAAATTTAATTTATACTTATATAAATAGCAGTTAAGAAAATAATTTACAAAATGACTGATCAGTTTGGTCCTATTACTCTTAAATGGGACCCGAAAAATCTAGAAATACGTACCATGTCTGTAGAGAAAACTTTAGAACCTTTAGTATTACAAGTAAGTTTTATAAAAATATTATTTAATTGTATTAAATATATTTACCTATTTAACATAAATGAATTATTACTCTTGTAGGTCACTACTTTGGTAAATACAAAAGGTACTTCACGTAAAAAAAAAGGACGTTCAAAAAGAGCTCATGTTCTAGTTGCTGCTGTAGAAAAAGCTACTGAGAATTTTATTGAAGTTGGTGAACAAATTGCTTATGAAAATCCTGATATAAAACAAGAAATGTTAGCTGCAGTTGAAGAAGTTCGAAAAACAGGTAAATTAATCAATATATGATATTTGATATTATATTAAAAGTTTGGAATACCTAATCAAATCGATAGTAAAACCATTTAAAAACCTAATTTGAAAATTTGAGTAAATTTGATAATAATTATAGTATCACTATCATTTCTGTATATCTCCGATGTCGTTTTGTTAGAAAAGCTATAAAATAACAATAATAATTTAAATTAAGATTCTTTGTCTGTTCCACCCTTTTAATCCAAGAGCTATCTTCAAACTTTCTTCTAGGTAATCCTAAAGGCGGTCCCACACGACTGCTGTACTTGGCCAATATTTGTCATTGGTGATAATACGCCAGTCGTATAGGAGAGTTCACAAATACAAATGTTGGTTACTGAATCGTACCGGTGGATTGTCGGTAAACCTGACACAAGTCAAAAGACCACCAATGTTTGGTTAGTTAATGTTAGGTCAATTCAACTTGGCGTTTGCTCCTTCACGGCATGGTGACTGGCGTTGACTGGCCGTGCGAGTTTTTTTTAAATAATTTATTATTAAAAAAAATAATATACATAATAATTTATATACACAGATATATATGATTGTGGTATAGGACATATTATTTTGACAATGCTAGCTGTATACGAGTTAAAAAAGTAACTGACTTATTTAATTTAATTCATTGAGAGGACTTTATAAACTTATTAACTGGTCAACTATACAACCTGTGTGGGAGAATATATAATTCCCATAACAATTTTATCAGTGCTGGGCATTGATAATACTTGTAAATGTACACCAGTCGTGTAGGACCGCCTTAAAAGGAAACTTAAAAGAATGTGCCCAGAAACTTTTTAGTTGGTAAATAAAGCTTGTTAGTATATTAAATAGATATAATATTATTTAATATTAAAATATAAATTATTCTCATTCTTTAAAATAAAATAAAAAAATCAATAAATACTCTACTAGTACTGTTATTGGAGGTCTTCAAATACTCATGCAAAATTATATTATTATATTTATAAGTAGAAACTTTTTATAAATTCTTATTTTTATCTTACGCATACAAATTGTATGTATTTTTTTTTAAATAATAAAATGTATATATTTATAAAAGATGCTAAGTGTATTACTGTTTATCTAGAATTTATTCTAATTATTGTTTTATTTTTTTCATAGGTGATGCTATGAGTATTGCTGCTAGAGAATTCGCTGAAGACCCTTGTGCTTCAGCCAAACGTAGTAATATGGTACGAGCTGCAAGAAATCTATTATCAGCTGTAACACGTCTACTTATACTTGCCGATATGGTTGATGTACATTTATTATTAAAGTCCTTAAGAGTTGTAAGTATACAATTTTTATTTTTTAGTTTGCAATGTTTAATTACGGTTTTAAAGTTTATATGTTTAGGTGCTTTGTAATTATATTGAATTTTTCATATTTTTCAGTATTACTGGTTATTTACAATTGTTTTCTTTATATTATATTTTAGTCTTAAGCTCATATATTATTAATTATTATACATTGATTGTATATTTTTCATTAATATAATATTAAAATGTAAATTTAGGTTGAAGATGATTTAGAGAAAGTTAAAAATGCTTCGAGTCAGGCAGAACTCCTTGACAATATTAAAGTCTTTGGTCGTAGTGCAAGTGAACTTATGAGTCAAGCTGCAAAACGTCAACAAGAATTAAAAGATCCACAACTACGAGATGATCTAGCAGCTGCCCGTGCAATTTTAAAAAAACATTCCACAATGCTGTTAACTGCTTCTAAAGTAAAACTATAATAATATTTGACCATTGTTATGTTAAAAATTACATAAAAGAATATTTTAGGTTTATGTAAGACATCCAGAGCTTGCAGCAGCTAAAGCTAATCGTGATTTTGTGTTGAAACAAGTTTGTGAAGCTGTAAATACTATAAGTGATGTTGCTCAAGGTCGATCTGCAGCAATGAATGATAATGGCAATCAAATTTATGATGGCCCTGGAGAACTGGCTGCTGCACTTGATGATTTTGATGTAATTTAAAGGAGACTTAAGATGAAATATATAACTAGAATTTTATAACATTTTAAGTTCCTTTTGAAATTAAAATTTCTATTTAAAGCTTTCAAATTTAAGTTGGTCATGTTTCTTATTATATGTGGAAAAGGAATACACTTTTAGAATAAAATTTTTAAAACTTTATATTTACACATTAGTTACATAAAACAAATTTGGATTACAAAATGTTTAATGCTTCAGGAAAGAATGGTAATGGATCCTCTTGTTTATAATGAAGTACGGACACGTCCATCATTAGAAGAACGACTTGAAAGTATTATCAGTGGAGCTGCATTGATGGCTGATTCTTCATGCACGCGTGATGAACGTAGAGAAAGAATTGTTGCAGAATGCAATGCTGTACGTCAAGCTTTGCAAGATTTGCTCTCTGAATATATGTCCAATGTAAGTTATTTTTTAATCAGTAAATAATTCTAAGCTTAAATGTATTTAATTCAATTGATTTATTTATATATATATATAAATTATTCGTTTTACTAAGGAATATTATATTTGTGTTGGTGTTTGCAGCAACTGCAACTCCAAAGGGTCGGAAAAAGGGTATGGTTCTCACCAAAAGAAATTGATCACCCTTGCATTTTTAAAGAATTTTTTAGAATAAATAGTCACTTAAAAAAAACACATTTTTGTACTTATGAATCACTGTTACATAATTTAATTTTTAAACCCTCACCATCTTATTTTTATTCACTTTCTGTATTTTCCTTTAGAAGTTGAATTTTACTATTCATTTTTATAACAATTTAAATACACACTGGTATTAAAATGAAAGTTGCATGAATATTTTTATTTTTTTTTTAATGACAAGTAGATTGTTAAGTTCTCAATTTATATGAATACATTTTGTATGAAAATAATAATTAAAGTAGATAGTAATTTATTATACTGATTTTAGTAATCATTTTATCAATAAATAATAATTTTATTATTAATTGATTTATGTATTTATATTTATTAATTATACATTTTTTTTATAAATGTATTTCTGTTTTGCACGACTAACTATTTATATATATATATATATATTATCGGCAATATGGATAATCCGGTATTTTGTAAAATGCCTAGGCATTATATAAAATGCCTAAATTAATCTAATCGCGAATAAAATCATTCGGCAATATACATAATACGAGCTGTATTATGTATAAAGCTAAACGTGGAGTAGGGATTATGATGAAAATAAACAAAATTGAGCAACAACCAACAACTTTACTTATAGTTTATCATAAATGTGCGAGTACAATTTAACGCAATAAAGATTAATATTCTTTTACTAATATAATAATAATTCTGTGATATAATATTTAACGTACTACTAATAATTTTATTACCATTTCGTCATTTTCGTGTCTCGTTTTGATGTGCAACTATGGATACAATTTATATGAAGTCTAATTTTTATAACAAACTACAAAATTTTTTTAAAAATTTGGCCGCTAATCCTAGTTTTTATCTGATGAATAGTATAATGAATGGATAAAAATTAAATTCACAAGAATTGGCCAAGGATTTTTAAAATTTGTATTTGCCTTAAAAATAGTATTTTGTGCACTTCAAAATGTCACTTTTCTACAACATTTTATAATAAGTAAATAGTTTATTTGTATAATAGTAATAATATAATAATAGATTAAAAATAAGTTTTTTCTGTAATATGACTAATCATGTATAATAATTATAAGAATCTTAATGTAATATAACTTATAATAAAATGTTTTGTACCTTGCCTAATAAAAATTGGCATTATGTATGCCTAAGTATTTTATAAAATACCTAGGTTATATGTAAAATAATATTGAAAATTATATGTTTTATTTACATTACCTAAAATGGATTGGCAATTTGCATTATGCCTAGGCATTTTGTAAAATACCTGAATTATCCATATTGCTGGTAATATATATAAATAAAATGTAAATTGCAGACTTACATAGAAATAAATGGCTTTATTGCTATATTTAAAGTGAATACTAACTTAATGTTAGCATTATGGATATTTTAATACAATTTTAATAAATTAATAAAAAATATAAATATTAAGTAAAACCAATTGCTTCAAAATAAAACCATTGAAATACCAAAATAATTTAATAATATAAACATTGAATATTTTTTATTTACATTTTTTTTTAAAAAATTTAGACTAATTTTTTTATTTTCTTAGCAGTTTAAGTTTATAGATGAAAATGTAGTAAATAATTATGCAATCCTTATACTTGTTATTAATTATATTATTATAGCTTAAATAATTTAAGCAATAAATCTGTAGTTATAATACTGTTTGATGAATGATCTATTTAACTTCTATAAATATAATTCATAAGTGTTATTGTTTTGTTAATATTTTACGAGCAATTTTAACAGTTTTTTTTTTCATTTTGCACGAAAAAAAAAAAATTGTTAAGCATGTCATATTTATAATTAATGTAAGCATTAAGATTTTCAATATACTACTATGAATATTTTCTTCAATAGATGAGTGTTAAAGAAACTAGTGAAGGATTGGAACGAGCAATTGATCATATGTGTCGTAAAACTAGAGATTTAAGACGTCAATTACGTAAAGCTGTTGTTGATCATGTATCTGATAGGTAAAGTGAAACAAATTACCTTTAAAATCAAATTAAGTAAATTAATATTTATCAAAATGTATAGCTTCCTAGAGACTAGTGTTCCATTACTTGTACTAATTGAAGCAGCTCATTCAGGTGATGAGAAAGAAGTTGAAGAATGTGCTCTTGTTTTTACTGAACATGCTAACAAACTCGTTGAAGTAAATAAAATATTCTTTATTTTTATAGTGATATTTTTATTAATATTTTTAAATGATTTAGGTTGCTAATCTTGCATGTAGCATGTCTAATAATGAAGATGGTGTAAAAATGGTACGAACTGCTGCTGCTCAGATTGAAAACTTATGTCCCCAAGTAATAAATGCTGCTAGAGTTTTAGCTGTTCGACCACGCTCGAAATTAGCACTTGATAATATGGATGTCTTCAGGGATGCATGGCAAGCTCAAGTTCGTTTACTAACTGAAGCTGTTGATGATATAACAACAATTGATGACTTTTTAGCTGTTTCAGGTATTACTAATTTAACTTATTTAATATTCATGTATTTATATAATATGATATTAAATTTTAGAAAGTCATATATTGGAGGATGTCAATAAATGTGTTCTTGCACTTCAAGAAGGATCTGCTGACCCATTAGATAGAACTGCTGGAGCAATTAGAGGTCGTTCAGCTAGAGTTTGTAATGTAGTGGCTGCTGAAATGGATAATTATGAACCTGGTATTTACACAGAACGTGTTTTAGAAGCAATTAAGGTATTACGTGATCAAGGTAAGTTTTAACTAACAATCAATTTTTTAAAATTATGAAATAAAATATTTTAAAAAAAAATTCTTTAAAAGTTATGCCCAACTTTGCTCAACGTGTTGAGTTGGCTGTAGATGCATTATCAACAAATCCTCCAAAAGAAGTGGACGAAAATGATTTTATTGATGCTTCAAGACTTGTTTATGATGGTGTAAGAGAAATACGTCGTGCTGTTCTCATGAATAGGGTATAATAATTATAAATAATGATCTATATATTAGTAACAAATTAATGTATATAAATTAAATTTATTAGACGGATGAAGAGTTAGATCCCGAAGACATAGAATTTGATGAACATTATACAGTTGAGACACGTAGTAGATGTAAGTTTTTCGATAATAGTATTTAATTTTTTAATAATTTTTAATTAAAAATAATATTTCAATGAAATTGAAATGTATAAATTCAGAGTGGCGGAGCAAAAACGACCACATTTGAAATTAACGCCACACAGTTACTGAAGTGAAAAAAAACCCAGGTTTAGCAAATGTTGGGAAATTATATTAAATATGTCAAAAAACTTATGTGTGAAATAGAATGTCCATTAAATGGTGTCTGTGTATGATGATGCATTCTTGGAGGCACTCCCCAAAGTTTGTCATCACTTTCTCCAACATTTCCATTGTAATTGATACAATATCACTTCTAATTGAATTTCGTAAATCGGCTAATGTTTGTGGCTTATTTACATAAACTTTTGACTTTAAATACCCCCACGGTAAGAAGTCGCAGGGAGCGAGGTGGCCATGGAATGTCACCGTTGGGTTAGGAGACCAGATATCTGGGAAAATTAGTATGTGTGACATTTGTAGATCTATATGAGACACACGTCTAGAAATCTTAATGGTCACATGACCATGTTCCTGAAAATCTTTAACCCATTTTCAAATCAATCGGCAGTTAGGAACAACTGCACATGGAGGAAGTCTGAATTGCATGTGGATTGCGCATTGTATAGCCACAAACAACTCATTGTTTCGGAAAAATGTCTCTACAGCAAATGAGTAATGTTGAATACTCCACTGCACTATTTCAACTAAACTTCCGGTCACGTACTACACAATGAGGTGTTCGGCAATATTGTGCAATGTCCTCTCCCAAAGTCATGCTTATCTCAAAATGTGTTGTTTTTGTTTTGCCAACCTGTATTTATATTTTAATATTTTATGAAAGTGAAATTTGTTTTTCTGAAGATATTTTTACAGAATTACTTTTTACACCTGCAATCTATGAATATTTGAACTGTTATTTTCTAGTTTCTTGTTTCTCTAATTTTTAATGTACGAGTAATTGGCTATTTCAAAATATATCTACTCATAAATTGAAATTCAATTACTGTGATGGATTTGAAAAGTTATGAAACTTAATTCTCTACCGTTCTGCACAAGTTAATGTTTCCTTTGCATTTAATGCATAAATTTGTTTTTTTTATTTTTGTGAAATTACGACGAAAATAGTAATGTCTGTAATAAGTAATGTTGAATAGTTGTAAGATTCAAGGAATTTAAATTTAAACTCTTAAAAATCCTCAATTTAATGTAACTAATTAAACTAATGTTTGATTATTTTTTTCAGCCAGCGCTCATACCGGGGAACCTTTAGATGAATACCCAGATATTAGTGGAATTACAACAGCACGTGTATGTATTCATTATTAATGTTTCTCAATAGATTTTTAAGTAAATCTATATATATTGATTGATTGATTGATTGATTGAATTCTATGAATAATTTATTATAGGAGGCAATGAGAAAGATGACAGAGGAGGATAAACAAAAAATTGCTCAACAAGTTGAATTCTTTAGAAGTGAAAAATTGAAATTTGACCGTGAAGTAGCAAAATGGGATGATACAGGAAATGACATTATTGTACTTGCTAAACATATGTGTATGATTATGATGGAAATGACAGACTTTACACGGTAAACATTATGAGATATTTTTAAAAAAAATGAATTAATTTAATTGTTTTTTTTTTTAGGGGGCGTGGTCCTTTGAAAACTACTATGGATGTTATAAATGCTGCTAAAAAAATTTCAGAAGCTGGAACAAAATTAGATAAACTTACTAGACAAATTGCTGATCAGTGTCCAGAATCATCAACAAAAAAAGATTTATTAGCTTATTTACAAAGAATTGCTTTGTATTGTCATCAGTTAAATATCACTTCTAAAGTTAAAGCTGATGTGCAAAATATTAGTGGTGAACTTATTGTATCTGGAGTATGTTTTATTTTTTTTAATATATAAATTTATATTTAGCTTTACATTTTACATTGAGTCAATTTTAGTTGGATAGTGCAACATCCTTAATTCAAGCTGCTAAAAATTTGATGAATGCAGTAGTTTTGACTGTTAAATCCTCATATGTAGCCAGTACCAAATATCCTAGACAAGGAGCAGATCTACAAAAAGTAATTTTGAATAATTTTTCCATAATTAATTTTTTTTAATTTAAAATTTACATTTTTATATAGCTTGTTGTTTGGAAAATGAAAGCTCCCGAAAAGAAACCGCTTGTAAGGCCAGAAAAACCAGAAGAAGTTAGAGCCAAGGTAAGGAAAGGCTCTCAGAAGAAAGTACAAAATCCAATTAAAGCTTTGAGTGAATTTCAAAGTGCTACTGAATCAGTTTAAGTGTGTTATATTTATTTATATAATGTGTTTTTCTAAATATAAGTATATTCACTTGTAATTTAATCAACTAAAGGCCAAATTACAATTGAGTTATGACAAACATTTAATATTTGAATTATAATAAACAAAAATTCAAGTTTTTTTTTTTTTTTTTTTTGCCAATTTATTAAGTTAATGATAAAAATTATTGTTTTGTATATTTACCTAAAGTTATTTAAAATAACTGAATTCTTATTTACTATACATTTTAAAATTAGTAACATTTTATATTTTCATTATTTTGTATCATTATGTTGATAATGTATGGTTAGTTATTATAATTATATTCTCAAAAAGCTCTAAGTTTCTAGCATAACTAATGTAGGTTTGATATTTTTACCATATTAATAATTATATTTTATACCGTCCTAGAAAACTATTATTTTAGCATTTAATATTGTAGTTTTAATAAATATTTAATTATAACATAGAAAATGTTTAATGACTAATTATTATTATTTTAATTATATTTATATATTGAAAACAAATACAACTTCTTGTATTAATGGATATTTTACAATAACAACACCATAATGAATATGATTTTTTAGAATTGTAGATATTTGTTGTAATTCAGTTTTTATCATGTATTTTCTTCTTAACATAATCCATACTTCTAATTGAAATTTCAATGGTGATTCTTTTATTTAAGATGATTTATTTGTTCTCTAAAATCTTACTTAATACAATCCAAGTATAATAGAATATTTGCTTATAATAGAGCTTACATAGTTATTATAAATTATTTGTGATAGCTAAAATTTTTTAATAAATATTATTATTTAATTATATATACATAATGCTATAGACTTAAATACAATATTTAATTAAAAAATTTCTGATTTTTTATTTACAATATTTGTATTACTACAGTTAAAATTTATCTTTTTTCCTGAACTTAAAAATAATTAATTGCACACTTATTTAAATTTATTATAATTTTTTTAATATTCAACGAGTCATATGATGTAATCAGAGATAACTTTTTAACTATGCAGGTGACCGACATGACAGCCTCTGCGCTCGAAAATAAAAAATTCTGGACTGGACTTTTTCTTGACGTCATACAGGCGTTTGATAAAATATGGTGTAATGGACTGCTTTTCAAACTTAAACAGTTTATGCCAGCACTATAATATCCAATTCTCAAATCATATTTAGAATACATAAATTCTAGTGTAGTACCTATAATTATTCGGGACCCAATTCAGGTGCAGCCATATTTTTCATTAAATATTACTGAATAAAAGAGTATGGACATACTAGTAAACAAATTGTTGAAACAATATCACTAACCTGTAATGATGGGCACTTGTACCATTTTAATTTATTAAAATTAAAATTAATTAAATAAAATTATTAATATCATTTTAATTTATCAAACCGCTCTAAGACATGCCGAATTGCGGTATGGACAAGTATTTACACAATAACAAACTATAAAAAATCAACCTTTCTTTTAACAACACTTTCATAAACCGTTAGATATTCTCATAATGTAATAACACCTCACTGACCAATAATTTGTACGCTCAATATCTGTAAAAGTATTGCCATGTGTTACTTATATTATATTCATAATTTTCATTTATATAAATTATCAAAAGACTAAGACATGCCGACTTGCGGTATGGACACGTAGTCACGTTCAACACCCTTATAAATAGGCTTACGAACTTATAGCTCTAAAAAATACACAAATATGCTACTAAAATCATTAAAATATGCATTAAAAAAAAAAAAAAAAAAATGACCACGTAGTACACAAAATAAAACGTGTCCATCAGATGTAAATGTATCTTTAAGCTCTGAAACAAAACTTTTTAATCGGCTACTCGTAGACTGTTGTACTTTCGGCATTACACAATGTTACAACATATATGCATACATTTTAAATATGATTCGACGTTATGTGTTTACCAGACCCAAAAACAACAACGAATAATAATCGACTGAACTATACTCTTAACAATCTATTATTCTATATCGACTATTATCTTTATCGATATCCGGTTGATATCCACCGGGTTATACGGTCGATACGGGTTTATAGTATTATTTATACTTACATAAAAATTATAACGAGATATGAGAGGTAGATAGCATATTACTGGAAGTCCCTCTTAGTACATTTTTTTTGATCGATCAGTTGAAATATGTATATATGTTATTTGTATCTATAGTTTTTAATTTTAAATAATAAAATTTGAAAAATTTGTCAAAATATGCAAAATAAGCATAACAATTTTAAAACATGCACTCTCCTGCAAAATCTATCAAATATGCATAAATATGCATATTTAAATTTTAGATCTAATATCATGACACTAAGAAACGAATTTATTTCGCACTCTGCTATACTTAACAATAATTAAAAAAAGTATGCAAATGTAGAAGTCCCTAAGCCTATTTATAACAATATGTTCAAATCATATCTATATTAATGATAATACTCACTCATGTAATTCTTCGCTAAGACATGCCGACTTGTGGCATGGATTTGTAAGCATGTAATAAGCAACCAATAAATAATAAAATATACATTTAACAGTTGGGAAAATCACACAAATCAAATAATAATAAACAAAAATAAACGATAACGAACGTAACGGTACAAGTCATGTACGACCCTTCGACACTTAGAGATCTAAGACAGCGGTTCCCAAACTTTTACGATCACGGAACCCTTGGGAAATAGTTTGTGTTTTGCGGAATCCTAATGTCTTTACTTCCAACTCAACTCCATTTTTTCTAAAAAAAAACAGTACTACAAAAAATATTTTAATGATATTGTTAATGATTATTGTTTATTACAATTAGTTAAAAAACAATTTTCAATAAAAATTTAATTTATTTAAATAACAAACAATTATTATTTAACTATCACAAATATTTATTTTTAAAAAATTATAATTAATTAGATTTTAAAATATATATACTATTAATATTTTTAGTGAGAAGAATGGAATTGTTTCATTGTTTGATTTACAGTATTTTTAAAATTAGGTTTTATATCTGAAACTTGAATTCGTAAGTCTGGAGCGGCATTCAATCTATTTCTGTATTTATTTTTTGTATACGCATAAGAGGAAAAACCAGCCTCACAACGGTAGGTTGTTACAAAAGGTAATAGAGTAAAAATAGCTTTTTCAACTAGGGATGGGTACTCGTCCTTAAGTTCAATCCAAAATTCGTTTAAAGATCCAGATTCAAATTTCTGTTTTAAATATGACATGCTTTTAATTTCAATTAACTGCTCATATTCGAACATGGATAACATTGCAGGTTTTTTTTGGTTCACAAAAGGATTTTGTATCCAATCAACGTCATTATTAGTAGCAGGAAAATACTGAGAAAATACACGAGCAATGCTGTAACTCAAAATAAATTATGCTTCTGTTGCATTTTCACTGTCGTTTTTCGCGTATTTATGTAAGGCAGACAAGTTGCTATTATGTTCTTCTTTACGTTTTTTAAATAGCATTTCCTTGTTCATCAAATTTGAAAGGTTGGTTTCGAGGTGTCGTTTAAGTTTTGCAGGTGCCAAAGAACTGTTCTGAAGAATTACATTACAAATAACACATTGTCCATCAGGCCTTTCTACGGTACCAACAGGAATAAATCCAAATTGAAGGTAGGATTCATCGTATTTTCTCTTTTTCGAAGATTTTAACTCAATAATTTCAGGTACAACTATACTTTTTTCCGAAATATTACTATGATAATTCTTTTCAATGACATTAGTAATCTAAAATAAATTAAATAATAATATTATAATATATAATTATAATAATTATAATAACAAGACTGGAAACGACTAAAAATTAACTAATTTTATTCAAATTTCTTACCGAACAACTAGGAATAGCATCTTTCAATATAACTTGTTGAGATTCTATTGTTGATGAAGACGCCACAGTCTCATCAATATTATTACATGTTGTTTTGGCCAACAACCGTCCTGTTTTAAGCCAATTATGCATGGCAAACTTTTTATTTGTAGTTATGTTGTATTTATAATAAATAATAATTAATAACGCAGTAACAACGTACACGAAGTATGTCGTATGAAAACTATATGCCAACTGAATCATAATCTCTTAATTTTAACTCATTACGATTACGGATATAATGTTGCAATTGTATCGAAAGCGAACTCGTGCACATAAGTTATTTTTATAAGTTATCGCACAATTTACTGGCAATCGCTTTGACACGCTTATCTAAATTCTACAAATCTACATCGTTACGTAATGACAACGTCTATAGGTACATGAGTGTTATAATTTTATTCTGTTCAATTTCAAGTACATGCAACAAATATTTAATAACGATATTATACTATAACTATTAACTAATAATATTTTTTATATAAATAATCCAAATATAATTTAAATAATTTTCTCGACATCACATACATCTGACGGAACCCTAGGGTTCCGCGGAACACACTTTGGGAAACGCTGATCTAAGAGACCAAAGAAATTATATGCCAACATCGCCTACGTGACCAACAATGACAGTCGGTACATTGGACTCATATGAATTAAATAAAATAATTGAAGGTGCCAGCACCGTCCCGAATTAGGTCAATCTCTTGGATCTCTCACCGACAAAGGACGTGCATACGTGATGTTTAGGTTATATAAGGAAGCTCGACGGTCAGTCCCAGCGCAATGCGATATCATAAAACCATGTAGCCACATACAATGCGATATCGGATCAACCACGCAGTCACAAGCAGTGCAAGATGTCGTACCAGCCAGTAGTCTTAGCTCATCGTTGCTGAGACTACAGTTTTAACAGTTGTAATTAATCTCACTTAACTTCTTAAATATTCGTGTGATTTTCATAACTGTTGAATAATTACAACATAAAAGAAAATCAATTCTTTTTATTTCTCTTCCAATCAATCTCTTGAGTAAAAGCCATTTTCCGAGCCACTGGTATATTGGTATCCCATCCTGTGGACTTTCAGCGTGAAGACTCCAACATATCAGACTCAAGTTTACACCCGAGGAGAAAGGTAAGTGGAATAACACATATTATATCTCCTCCATTAAAACTGCCCTATTAACGCTATAACCTCTCGTTGATTTCTGTAACCCAGAGTTGACCTCACGACCCCGAATATAATTCGTAATAATACACTGTCCTCCGCGTACGTCGAGTGGCTGTTGCTATAGGCCAAATGGCAGCTGATACTACGTGTCTCGATAGGTCAAGCCAATTCATCTAGACTTTGTGTATTATTACAAGGTAATTTATCAATATATAGGAAAACTGCGAAGCAGGTGGGTCCCCATCGCCAAAATCTACATCCCACATTTCCCCCCTTCATTTTTTCCTATATATTTTTGGTTTATTACAAACCTACTATTGAAATGTATAATGAGTCTAACTCTGAATCAAAAGTTATAGTATTAATTAAATTCATTTACCTTAAGAAAGATTAAATAGCTTTTTAATTTAAAATTGTAAACTTATATGATATTTTGTCATTGTAATTTATTTGTTGATATTAGTTTTCTAACTTATATGGTAATTTAAATTTGTATAATAGTGTTTACATTTTAATTTTAAAAGAGTATAGAATGTTTACTTTTTCTTTTATTTATTATCCAAAATTTTTACTTGCTCACATACCTACATACTTTTAAACGCCGTTATAGTTTTTTTATGTAATTGGAGTTACATGAGAAAAATTTTCCATAAATAATGTTATAGTAGTATCCCATTTATAAATTTATATTATATATAACTATAATTAATAAGTTGATAGAACTAGGTTATGGATTATATGTGAGGAAGTACTGTGGAACGGGTGTTAACCTCATTGGAGGCGACTTCAATAATCGGTCGACCATTTTACAAATCGTCAGGGTTCAATCTTTCAATGTACACGGAGTCCCTGGACATGGTAGTAATGAAGAAGATCAACATAATCACGGCTGCGACATATTGCTGCATAGCATTTTATCAAAATAGGGAACGCCTCGCCCTGGTTATTGGGCCATTCAACCCAGGTGAATTTGTTTCCTTAATGCTGGAGAACCTATCTAACTGCTATTATCCGCTTCGTAACAAACATGATGACCGCCAAAGAGTATGTGGAACGCAAGAGATAAGCTCAGCAGGTTATAGCTCTCTCATGACGGTGAAAAGAAAATAACAGTGCAGAGGCTAGCCAACACACATACTAAAAATTATTTCAGGCGCTGTGGATTGCTAACCTTTGTTCCAATAAAAAACTCTGATATATTTTTTTATCTAAAATAAAAATGTGATTTTTTGACATTCTATCATTTAATTGAAATTTTGATTTCCATATTCTTATATTTTAAATATACTATAAATAGTTTTTATTTTGATAATCTATACAAATTATGTTAGTTTATATTATAATTGTTTATACATTGTACTTTTATCTTATACTTGTTATTAACTTTAGTTTATTAACTCAATGTTTAAGAGTGTTAGCAGCAGTGCTGTAGTCCTAAAAAAGGCAGAGGGTATACTATGAGTTATAATATTAAACATTTATACTATCATTAGGTATCATATCAAGTAGCTAAAACGCATAATCGTCTTTCCTTTTTCTTTCTAATAAATTTCCCGTTTTTAACCAACTATCCATATTATAACTGCTTATTAAAATAGATTTGCAAATAAAATAAACTCGTACCTTTTTATTGTTCGACTGGACATAACTAATACACAGATATGATATACGAATCACTGTCAATGGCAAAATGAAAAATGAACGAATGCATACACTACACAGTATTATGCAACGGCTGAACATTTGATTTTTATCTTTAATACAGATATTATACAGTTATTTGATTGTTATATTATCTAATCTACAGTACATGCCCGTCAATCGCCCAATATATATAATTTCACTACAACAGAGAATATACGACCTTAATCTGAAGATATACGGAGTTTATTAGAAATAACCAGAAAGTATACGGCGTATACCGCCGTATACCCTCCACTACAGCACTGGTTAGCAGTGAAGAAGCCTAAATCACAATTTTCAATTATTGTTGTTAAGGAGAGGCTCTTCCTTAAATACTGTATTGGTGATAAGATGATACAGATTCTACCTGATTAAATCAAAATGAAATCATAAAAATTACAAAATCTATAAGTTTGGTGCCATGAATGTTAAGATGAATAAACTGTCCGTCGGTCATATTTTTTAAAAACTTTAGGCTAAATCATGTATCTATAAGAGTTCACCTTGATTGTTGCCTTTTAATTTTATCAGTTTACTTAAGTAAAATAGTAAAATATAGTTGTATACAGTGGCGTATATATAGGGAAGGACCCCGGTGCCAAATGGCTCTCAAAATGATATTATCCTTACATGAAAATTCAAGGTATACACATTATATTGTTTTTTTTTTTTTTTTTTTGTTTTTTTAATGTGAAATTATTTATTACGAAATGATAAATAAAATAAATTGCCAGATAATTAACAGATGTGCAGAGTAAAAAAAAAATGCTGTTTATAAGGAGATACCTATTATAAAAAAACAAACAAATATTGTGTGTATTATTATTTTTCTGCTTCAATACTGTGTGTTATTGGAACCACTGCATACAATTAGGAAAGTTAAATACCATCAATATTGTTAATTATTTTAGGGAAGTATAGTTTCAAAAATGTTCAAGGTGACCCTGTGCTACGGTGCCCCGGGGCATTGCGCCGCTTCGCCCTATGATAGCTACGCCACTGGTTGTATAACAAAGATGGAACTATTTTTTTTTTTTTTTGTGGTGATAAAAAAATTAATGAAGATACATTTCGAAGACTAATACAAATCATTCATCATACCACTTATCTCTTAAAAAGTGTACCATCACTAAAGTGTTTACTAGTGTGACTGGCTCCTTATATTTCATAATTCAGTTTTATATATGAATTTTATTTATATTTTCTTCTGATAATAAGTTTTAATTATTTTTAGAAAGTCATACTATATACACAAAAATATTGTATTAAATTTAATAAGAAAATTATTAATGATCAAGATTCGCTATCTATTTCATCAAAATATCCAGCTGTTTGAAGTAATTTATTTTGTACTTTTACTTTTAATTCTCTTTTGATTGTATCAGGTAACTTTCCTGTAAAAAAAAGGCAATATTAGGTATTTTATTTGTATAAAATCCAGAGTGTAGTTTTAATATAACATACTTCTAGCATCAGGAGCAATGTCATTGAATAAATCATCTTCTGTGATAGATTTTACTGATTGCCCTTTAGATAAACGGTTCTTTAACTTTTCTTTACACAACATAGTAACCTCATCCATCCAACCACTTTCGACTAATCTTCGACATACTAATGATTTAAAACTGCAATTATTTAATTAATAATTATAAACAATTAAATAAGCTCAAAATAAAAAATTTTAATTATTTTCGTTATTAATGAAATTTAGTTTCCAAGCTATTTTTATTTCTAATTGTGGGTTTTTGTAAATATAATCAGATGGTAACTTCAAAGAAAGTCGATAGAATTTTCTTTAGATGTTATATTCAAAAGAATTAAAAAAGCTCGATTCACAATACAATCAAAAACAATCCAAAATCGTATTTTTAAGTTTACAATAGGTACCAAAAATTAAAATTATTGTTTTTTTTTTTAAATATGAGTTTTTTTGTATTCAAAATTTTGGGATTTATCATAGATGATAAAAAATATATTTGGTTTGGAAGCAATAGGTTTTATCAATGAAGTAAATTAAATGTAAGTTATTTTATTTATTAAATTACTTAAATATCTTCATCATCTAACGATGATGAATCTGAAGCATCAATCTAAGAATAATTATAATTTATTTCTTGCAAACTACAAAATACAAAAGAAATAACAAATTAATACATGCTGCAAACTCCCGTATAAACGTAATACAACATTAGAGACCAATTTTTTTTTTTAAATGTTGCACAGGTATATTAACATTATCGTTATAATGCATATTATATGAGTGATCCACCCAAGTAATGTTTTGTTTAAATCTAAATAAACTAATTACAGTGTTACTTATGTATAGATTATGTATTGACACTACATTAACTAAATGTTGCACAGGTATATTAACATTATCGTTATAATGCATATTATATGAGTGATCCACCCAAGTAATGTTTTGTTTAAATCTAAATAAACTAATTACAGTGTTACTTATGTATAGATTATGTATTGACACTACATTAAGTTCTAAATACATATGTATAGGTAATTGTTGCTATAAAACATAGGCTTAAGGAATACAAATTTACTTAGAATATAAATTGTAATTTTTAGACGATTCATATAAGAATCATATGCTTGAACCCAAGGGCGTACCCATGGGAGGTGTCGAGTCCGGACCCTCCATTAAAATTTCTACATACTCAATGGTTTAATAGTAAATAGTAAAATAATAGTATATAGTGCATTTTAATTTCCCATAATCTTCAAAATACAAAGTTTATAGATTATATAATATATAATTATAAATTATATTAATTATATATTATATAATTTTATAATAATATACTAATATACCTATAATGTATAAACCATACTATAGTAAATTAACAGTAATTTTTTGGTATTGAGTTAAACTATAATTATAATTAGAGAACAGATAAAATAAAAATTTTGGACCAACACCATAAAAAATTCCTGGGTACGCTACTGCTTGACTCCAAATGATAATTCCATATAAGATGAATGATTGAACGAGAAACAAATATAGCCTACGTTTATTATATGTGTTAACAATAAATCAGATATAAAATACATAAAACAATTGTAAACAGCCTTAGTTAAATTAATAATATGGTCATTTCATTTTAACTTATAATCAATTGTAATACCTAAAAATTTAACAGTCCGTACTTGTACTAAAATTATGCAATTCTTACAAATACCATTACAATATCAGTATTTAATGAAGAAACAGTGATCAAAGTTAGAAAGTTTCGATTCATTGTTAAAATAGATATATTTTAATTCATTAATATTTAACTCTAGTAAATTGTTGTCAAACCACTACTGTTTTATGACAATATTAGCGGTTTCATACAAAGAATCTATATTTATATTGGATATTAATATCACGGTATCATCAGCATAAATAATAACTAGCATTAACCTGCAGATTAAGTAAACCATTGAAGTATTTATCAGTAGTGTATATAGGTTTTCATTTCGGAGGGGGCTGATCAGTGGCGTAGCCAAGGGGCGGATAAGGGGGCTATAGCCCCCCCCCCTCATTGGGCTGTGTTTATATGTATAGTGTATCTTGACTATTTAATAGAATCAATGGATGCTCGTTTTAATCAAAGGCTTATTGATGTTATGTCACTTAAAGGACTTATTCCGGCCAATTTAAATATGTATGACGATGAAAATATTATAAAAGCTAAAATATGTGCCCAAAATCTCCATGATGATACCTCGTCTAGAAAGAACGTTTTCTGCACTTAATCGCTTAAAAATTTTTTTAAGAAGCACCATGTCGGAAAATAGACTGAATGGGTTAGCTATGACTAATATAAATAAAAATGAGCAATTCAATGAAAGTGAAGTAATAACTGAATATGCCAGAAATTCGCCTAAGAGGATGCAGCTGTCAGAGTGGAGCAAGTGACTGAGCACTGAAACCAAAATTATTATCATATTATTATTAAAAATTATATATTAATAAATATTTTTAAAACTATACTAAAATGCTTGAATTACATTTAAAAACTTGGCGGTAGATGGTGGGGGGGGGGTTAAGGGTGAATTCTCATATCCTCTCTTACCTTACTTATCCAAAAAAGTGATTAACCCCTCCCATTTAAAAATCCTGGCTACGCCACTGGGGCCGATTATGTATTTGATTTTTGGGTGGAAGGAAAGGAGGAAGCACACTATTACGAAAAAGATGACTTTAACACTATAAGTCTTCTCGACTGTCTTTATACCATCAAAGAAATAAGAAACTCAATTTTTTTAATGATTTATAATTTTTAAAAGTATAAAAACTACATTGTAATAAACGAATTTTTTATAAGAGTCACTCAAAATTCACCACATATTTTCAGAATAAACATATTTAATAAATATAAAATTTTAAATGATCGCATAAGCAACATTCTCAGTGTCGCGACAAGTCTTCGGAAACCCCCAGCATTAAAACATATCCATGTTATAAATAACAATCTTTAACAATGATGTTTTTTATTTTAGAAGGGGCCCGGGCCCCTTGCCCCCCCCCCCCCATAAATACGCGCCTGGTATACATATATAATTAATATAATCTGTATATATAAAACAGTAAGCTGATTGACTGCTATCAACGCACAGCTCAAACCATTGAACGGATCTGGCTGAAATTTGGCATACAGATAGCTATTATGATGTAGACGTGCGCTAAGAAAGGATTTTTCAAAATTTTGAATTTAAAGGGTTGAAATGATCCGAATGATCTAAATGATCAGAAGATAGATAGCGTACGATTTCGATACTTCGATTTCGATTCAATCAAAAAAAGCTGCGTGCAAAAGATTCTCAAAACAATTGTTAGATATTGGAGATGGGAAAGTTACTACAGATGAAACGGGATGTATAAAATTACCGAACGATTTCTGCACAATCATTTATTCGCAAAATGCTATCATTGACCAGATATGTCCCAGTGTACACAGACAATACACAAATCATGAGTGGCTGGCAGAAAGAGCAATTTTAGTAGCAAAAAATGTGGAGGTCAACGAATTGAATCTCAAGATACAAAATTTATTACCAGAAAACTTGGTGTCATACAAATCTAGATACAGTTTGCGATGCTACTGAAGTTGTAAATTATCCAACAGAGTTTTTAAACTCATTGGATTTACTAGGCATGCCACCGCATAATTTACAATTGATCATTACAATTTACCATCGATAAAATACCTCATTCAGATTCATTTAAAGTTGTAATACATGCAGATAAAAAACCACCAGAAGAACATAGAGGCAGGTATAATGCACCAACGGCAAATGAAGTTGCTTTAGTGTTAGTAGATCAGCAGTTTGATCGAAGAGACATCATCCTCGGAAACCGAAGTAACTCACTTCACCGTATCAGTGAGATACATCGAGCATACGACGCACTGCAGTATCCTTTAATGTTTTGTTGGGGGGGATGATGGGTATGCAATCAATATACCACAACGCGATCCAAAAACCAAGTTATCGCTTAAAAAAACTGTCCCTGCATCAAGTTTTTACTCATATAGAATAATGGTCAGAGAAGGGGAAGACAACTATTTAGTTAATTATCGTTCTCTTTTCAGTCAATATTTGGTAGAGCTGTGCGTTGATAGCAGTCAATCAGCTTACTGTTTTATATATACAGATAATTCATTTTCAATAGCGCAGTTATCGACCTGGTCAAAAAATATTAAACCGATTTCAACCCTTTAAATTCAAAATGTCGAAAAATCCTTTCTTAGCGCACGTCTACATCATAATAGCTATCTGTATGCCAAATTTCAGCCAGATCCGTCCAATGGTTTGAGCTGTGCGTTGATAGCAGTCAATCAGCTTACTATTTTATATATACAGATACGTAGGTACCTACTAGAAATCAGCCCGGTCTCGGGTCAACCCGGACCGAACCGGAAAAAGCCCGGACCGTGATCGGGTTAGGTCCAGTCCGGTCACATGCTGAGATATTCTTGGTTTAGGTGTGTTCGAGCCTGGGAAGTCATATATGGGTTAGGTTTGGTTTAATCATAATATATTTTTAATATCACTGATGTGGTCCGGTTCGGTCTTTTGTTCTTTTGGTCTGGGTTAAAAATGGTTTTTTTTTTCAATTTATTTCTAATTATTTATAAATAACATATTATGTTCGTATTTCTTGAAATTACTTTTCATTACGGTCATTTTAATCTTTGTGTATTATTAGTTATTAATATTATTTTCCCTCCAGTTAAGATTTTATAAAAATAAACGTTGTTTACTGTTGAATATACAATATAATACGATATACAAATAATACTGTGACATGTGAATGTCTAAAATTGTTTCATTTTATTTTGTTCATTCATCGGAGAAGCATCGCCGCATCGGTATTAGATTCATCCATTCATCGAACATAAAAGTAAGCATAAGAATTTAATAATTATTTATATAGTATATTTATATACCTAGTAGTTATTTTAAGTAATAGTTATTTGTCCAATTATTTAGGAAATGACTGAAAAAATATGGAAAATTATTATCTATTCAATTTATTAAAAAAATAAAAGTTTCAGTGAAATTGTCACTTATGAAAATTGTACAATTACTAAAAATCCTTAATTGCCGATGAATTTAATTAACATTTTGCCAAAGTAGGTCAAGTCTATAGCTAATAAAATCAAAAGTAGTCATTTTGTTGATTTATTTGGAGTATCTATATCTAATTATTGTCTGTTACAATATTCATTTTAATTTTTGGAAACCAATTGCTGCCAATTCACTTCTTTTTCATGCAAATAAAAGAATATTTATCTTACATTATCATTTTCATCTCATAAAAAATTCTTAAAAATGTATCCAATAAAATTGATCTACCTATATCAATTACCTTTAAAAAATGCTTATCATTAAAGTATTTCCAGAAGTCTTTAATGAAGCACTTACAACTTGTTGTAACTATAAATCTATTGCATTGAGTATTGATATTAACAATAAGTAAACTGAATAGTGTATATAAGTAGATAAATGGAATTCTTAAATAAGAGTCACTTTTTTTCAATCATAACCAATTTGAATTTAGAAAAGGACTTTCAACTAATCATGCTATTTTTAATGTAACTAAATATATATATATATATATTACATATATGAAAATATTAATATTGAAAATAAGGTACCTATTAGAAATTACTTTTATTGATATTAAAATAACATTAACCAAAATATAATGATTAAATAAAGATTATAAACTTGATTATTGTGGTATTTGAGAAGTACCACTGGATTTGTTTAAATCATATTTTTTCAATAGAACACAAATGGTTAGAATAGATAGGTAATAGTTGTATTGAAGAAGAAAACACTACTTTTAGTGTTCCATAAGGTACAGTTTTTGGGCCAGTTCTATTTGTAATTTATATAAATGAGTTGTAAAATTTAAACTTTGACGGTAAGGTAATTAGTTTTGCAGAGGATACTATTTTACTTTTTAATTGAAAATCTATTGATGAAATCTATGATAAAGCTAACATAGGTTTAGTTAATCAGTGGTTAGATAATAACACTGCAACTAATTTTTGATAAATTTTGTTATTTGCATTTTTGTATTAACAAATTATATACTTATATGTTCAAGTATAAATTAGTTCTGTGTAATAATTCAATTTCTAATCAAAATAATATAGGAGGATATGTTTTTAAAAACTTAGTTGTTTAAAATATAGATATTTTTATATTTGAAATAGTTATATCTAACATTATAAAATCAATGGTTAAAGGTTTAAAATGTAAATTATTCGATATAAGAAAAACATGTGCCTACCTATATTTAGATAATCATTTACAAGAAAACTACTTAGAATCATATATTAAATTTAGATATAAATTTAAATATTAAATTATTTGTTTTAATTAGGTATATTAATTTAACTATAAATACTATATATAATATTATTTGAATAATGCCACTCAATAAAAAAACACTAATTAAATGGTCATAATTACTTTTCTTCATCTTCAAATTTCATTTCATTATAAGACATTTTACTTATAAAACTATTATTAAAATTCTGTAGAAACTAAAGCTATTTCAGTATTTTATTTGCATTACACATTCAACAAACACAAAATTAAAAAGCTACATAAACAATAAACAATATCATCGAAAATCTTGCTACTATTTAACAGTATTAAAACAGAATAGATTATGAGACAGCAAGTAATAGGTGATAACAATCTACATGGATACCATTGATTATAGAATAGACAGATAGCCCATGGTAAGAGGCAAGGCGGATATATATCCACCTTGGTAAGGGGTTTTCGGCAACTAATATTATGTTTATATGGACTGCTAATAGGTAGCGTTGTATCATTATATCAATCAATAATAGAAATAAAACCCGTCGCACGACGGTCGGTGTATCATGATTATGAATTGTATTAATAGTTAATAATAATAATAATAATAGATATCGACCATCACGATCATTATCTGTGTTTATACTGGAATAGATTTCTGAATAAAACAAGTTCGTTTCATTAAAATTATTTATTATTATTATTAATTATTAAGAGAATGTGAGGATGTCGGTCCATCGTTTGTTTTCTATCTCAGGTCCATGCACAACAAAGACAAAACGTATTTACGGAAAATCATGTTTTTAATGTTTTTGAGTAATCTTAAGAGTAAAGTCACCCATTACAAAAACAATAGAGAATAATATTTTTGAAAGTATGACATCAATTTGTTTATGTATGTCTCAAAATACTTCAAACACTATTTAAAATTACAAATTTTTTTTTTCATTTTGAAAGTCAAAACAAAATCAAATAATAATAAAATATAAAATCGATGTCAATGTCATTTCCTAAAAAATATCCTCTACAAACCAGGTTAAGAGAAATAATTTATATTCCTTACAAAACAATATTCATTCCATTTCAGTGTTTCCATTGATTCAATTCCACAGCAAAGATCTAATAATATTTAAATAGTAGGTAAGTAAAATACAAAATTAAAAAACAGACTTAAATTACTAATGAAGGAACAAGAATAAAAACCCAGAAATTATAATAACAAAATTTATTCAAATAAATAAATATAATCATAAAACAGAAATTAAATAAGAATAATAATTATTCAAACAAATAAATATAAAATATATAATAATAAATAATTATAAAAAGAGACTTAATAATAATAATAATATTAATTCAAATAAATAATTAATAAATGTAATCATGACATCATAACAATTTACAAATTATATAATAACAAAGATATACAAAAGCAAACGAATTATGAAATTAAATATGATTTAAAATTTTTAATTTTGATAATTTTGCTAGTTGTGATGTAGTAGAAATTGTTTGAGTTTTTTTAAATATTTTACATATTAATAAGTGATCAATGATGAATATTTTATGTTCTTTACAATTAAAATCGTTACCATCATTTAACCACTGGTTTATTAAAACATTCATTTTAATTTTTTGCATTAATTTAAAACGAAGTTTTTTTTTATAAAAGTAATTTTCAAAATATTTTTCAAAAATATCCAAACTATGGTTAATTATTTTATTAAAATAAATAGAGGGTGCCTTAAGTCCGGTATTATCATTTTCAAAAGAACTATAATTGATTTTTTTCATTTAAATCTTTACTAGTTAAAAAATTATTTTGGCAAAAGTGACAGTTGAATTTTTTTATACATTTATAGTATCCGGCAAAATACGTTACTGAACAGTCCTCTAAGGTGACTTGTAATTTGGTTTTGATAAAAAGGCAATGTTGATGAATTATATGAAATAATTTATTCAGTATCACTACAACTAGAATCCGTTTCATTTATTTCATTATCTAAAGATGATATAGGTACATTAATTACTGGATTGATTATTATATTATAGTCATCTGTTTCTTGCGTTTCTTCACAATTAGTTCCTTTTGGTGTGCACATAAGGAAAATATACAGCTACTTCTAAAAGAAGTTCTTGTAGTACGAGATGTTGAATTTTTATTATACCCTTCTTTTTGTCTAAAAATATTAAATGCATTTTCTAGAGCATCTTGATTTAACCGATTTGTTAAAATTAATGATACGTCATTTGATTTTTCTCCTTCAAAAAACTGTAGAATACCTTTAATATTTTGCGAAAATCCTTTAAAACACGGTGGTTACGAAATTTTTCCGTTTTTAATTTTTTTTTAAATTTGAAAAATAGTTTAACATTTCCTGTGTGGGTTAATGCACAATTATAAGAATTACTACTATAAAGCGACCTACTATTCAAACAATCAAATAAATTATTCATAAACTGAACGAAATCTGCAGTATCTATTACAGTTTTGCTACGGAGTTGACCAGTTGCTACACAAGTGCGGATGGTTGCTGCCATAGAATTATTCAGTAATTGAGATGCCACTTTTACTCGCATTTTTTTAAAAGAAGAAGGGTGAATATGGGCATCTGTGATTTTAAAAAGAGCTTTAATTTTTTTTATTTAATTTGTCCAACTGATATGTATTTTTTATGTCTTTAAATGAAAATATTTTATCATTTTTTTGAAAACAAGCCTCAATAAAATCGTTACGTACGCTTTTAAGTAAGTGAGGAACGTCAAATATAGAAAAAATTTTATGATCACTAACAAAAAAAAAAACGGATTATCTTCAGAAATATCTAATAATTTCAAAGGGCTTTGGTTGGTTGTGCCTTGGTCGCATACTATAAGTTTCGGGCACAAACCAACATCAATTAAGTTGTTTAAAACATCGATTACATTTTTTAGAATTGTTTTATTAATGGTCGACTGTGTAAGAAAATAAGCAATAGGAAACTTCCACTTGGAGTAAATACCGCGAGCCATAAACAATAAAACAATTAGTAAGTACTTTTATTCGACCTACCATAAGAACCTAAGTCTTGAAATCCCTTAATAAAATCATAGTCCTTGGAATATTCTAGAAACTCTTTAATATACATTTCGTCGAAATTAACAGTACACGCTTTTTCCTTATAACACTTTCGCTCAAATTTTTTGTTAATATGACTTAAAAATAAATCATAAAAATCCGGTAAATATTTAGACTTCCCAATCCATCGTCAAATTGTCGAAGGCGCTGGTAAATTAATTTTTTGTAATCTTAAAAATTTATAAGCAGTCGGCGATTTATAAAAAAGATTTAAAGATAGATTTTTTTCTTCTTTCGACCATGGTTGAAGTTTATTTTTATACTGCTTAGTGCCAAAGCCCTAGAATTGCAAAATGGGAATCTGTGCGTATGTATTACATTGTTTATATTATTATGGGTCTTAATTTTAGAAACTGACCTTTTTAATTTCGAAATATGACTGTTTTTATTACAAATAATTTTTGACTTTTGTTTTATTGATTGTTTTAGTTTAATTTTTCTGGGTGAATCATTATCAATTTCATAATTTATTTTTCTTTTTAAATTCGGACTTGACATATCAATTAATCTGGATATTTTATTTTTTTGTGACGTGGATGTTATTGATGAAAGACTAGGCAATATTAATTCTACTGCATCACTTCTAAATTTTACATACGTTTTAGTTGGAGTCAATAATGTTAATTTATCTGATTCTGCAATTTCAACTGAAGATAAGTTACCTTTTTTAAAAACATAAAAATAAATTATTTAAATATAAAATTAATTTTAGTTATCTTAGCATTTTCAGCATTTTTCCGTGAAATGTGGATAAAATAATTATTACTGCTTTAAAATATTTAAAATACATAGGCACAAATTTTTTTTATAAGCATTTTAACATCAAATAGAAAAATCATGAATATATGAAAATTATTTTGTAATTAAAAATTCATAAAATAATTAAATTAAATAGTTTATGTATTAAAATATAATACAAGGCCCTACATCGTTTTTAACTTAATAATTCTAATATATATATATTTGAATAATTATCTACATTAGAATTTGCTTTAATATAATACTAAATATTCTAAGTACACGTGCCGCAACTACACTAATTTGGGCCGGTGTGTAAATAAAATTATTGATTCATGAAAAATTAACTAATTGTAAAATTAATTTTTCCAAATTTTTAAACATAATTTGGAATTTGAGTTTTTACTTATACAAAATAAGGTTAACATAATTAAAACACATATAGGTATTTAAAAATAAATAAATGTAATATGTAGTCTTTTTTATTCATTTTATATTTAAATAAAAAATAAATAATAAAAATTTAAAATTCCTACAATTTTTTTCTTATAATGATGCTTCGAGTTATTTATTTAAAGTAAAAATTATGGAAAACTTAGTGTTGAATTTTTTAACGTTAGATAGGTATGAATACAAACAATTTTATGAATTTTTTATTACAAAATTACTTGCAAATTTTTGCAATTTTGACATATTTCGTAAAAATTTAAACTTTAAAGGTTTATAAAAAAAAATAATTGTATCTAACGATTTTTAATTTTTTTTTACTTACAATAAGAATGACTTATAAAAAAATCTTGTATTAAATTTACAAATTTTTTTGGTCATCTAAAATTATCTTATAAACGTTTCAAAAAAAAAAAAAATACCTTAAAAAATCGAAAATATCAGTTGTCTATTAATAACTAAAAAAAATCCAGAATATTTTGAAAACTTAACTGTATATAGATAACGCTAAAATAAACATTTAGTGAACATTTCAAGTATTTACAATGATTCGTTTTTGAGTTACAACAATATTAAAAAATTGATTTTTGTCATTGAGCCTCCCCCCCCATTATAGGTTGGGGTCCTGGGCCCATGTGTTAAAAACAAACAACACACCCGGTTATTGTGGCACTGATAATTAAATAAAGTACTCATCATTATTTCTTACCTGCTGATGTAGACGATTGTTTTTCCGAATGATATTCGTAAGGAACAGCTGTTGGCTTTAATTTTTTCTTATTTTGATTCATAAAATCATCTGGACTAAAATGTTCCTGACAAAGATATTTACTATACAATTTTTCTTTCGAAAGCGACAGTAGATTAATATTTCCTATAGTAAGAACATAATTTTTAATATAATTTAAAAAAATTGAATGAAAAATAATTTTAATTAATTAAATAATACATACCATAGTTCAGTACCCTACTTCACTTCTGACTTCATCTTTGGGAAATCGAAACATACTTAGGTTGGGAAACTGTATTGTTGTTTTGAGGCAATTAAAATATTGGCACTTATTTCCAGGAATGATCAATATTGTTATTTGTAACACGAAAACGTTTAAAATAAGAAATTAAATATAAAAACATTGAGAACATAAGCTTTACCGTTTCGAATGACAATCTATAAGTGTAGTCAGTTATCGAAGTTAAAATTAATAATAAAAAAAAAGGACGAATGTAATTTTGAAATTAAAATGACTGTTATTGAAAAAATATCTATTTTTGTTCATTTGTGTATTGTACTTTTCTACAATATAGTAAATATACCAGTTGCGGTTTGGAACTCCCAAAATCCCCTCTATTTAAGTACCACTTACCTTACACAATAATATTATTTATATTATACTGGTACTAAAAATACATAAAATAAATACAAGTATAAGTTCAAAATATTTTAAATTGTGTTGAAGTCACTATAATGAATATATTAAATTTGAATCCAATGATAGGTATCGTTGTATACGAAAAATGATTTGGACGGATATGATTTGTCAGTCTAGGATATATTTTCCAGTAGATGGTAAAGAAAGGTTAACATTTTGTATTCAATTTTCAACTCTTAGCTACTTAGGTATACAAAATGTTTTGTACATTTTAACTACAAAACAATTTGCAATTATTTATGATTTTGACAAATTGTTGTCAATATTTGAATTTCAAACGCTAATAAAAAATAATTGTGCCAATGTATTCTTATAATTTTTTAATCACTATAAGACTAACTCATGATGAACTTTATATTAAATTTTCAAATATTTTGACTCGACCAAAAAAATGTTATCAATATTTATAAAAAAAAAAAATAAGCAAAAACGAGTTCTTACAATGCCTATATAAGCATATAGCATTAAAATAAGTGAAATATTTTGAAAATTAAATCATATAAAGAAAATGCCAATCTAAATAACTGGTGAAATTTTCAAGTATCTACGACTTATAATTTTTGAATAATAACAAATATTGAAATATATTTAAAATCGTTTGAGGATAAATCGTTGTCGTTATGTAATTTTCCAAAAAAATTAAAATTCAAATGCTCATTACATTTTTCCTATAATGAAGCTTCAAGTTTTCTCTATAGCTATTTGAAGAAAAACTTACGGAAAACTTAATGTTGAATTTTTTAATCTTAGATTAAAAAAAATATAGGGACAAAAAATACTAGGATTCACCATATATACATATACAACATTTATACATACGCTGATAAGTTATTTATAGTCCAGAGATTAGTGTGGTACATGGAAATATAACACCCTGCCATAGTAAGGAGTGGTGTACACCGCACTGTTCGACAGTCTGGAATTAGCGACCGGTTTTTTCGACAGCGTGGCTCATCTGTCTATTCTATAATCTATGATGGATATCACCATTATAGGTATGTACTTAATTGTACCTACACAGAATAGGTTAAATAACTTGCTCTAACTTGGTCAATTTTTATTCAATTTTAATTTTTTTTTTTTTTTACAGTTTTAACAAATATGCTCAAGAAAATAACTATCTTAAAAATTAAAAATGCCATTAAATCAGAATTTCCATACTAAATATTGTAAAAAAAAACCACGTTTAAATATATTAATTTCCCGTGTAAATATTAAGGGTGATACGGAACTTATGGGATGTACTGTATATCCGTAAACTATTTGGTTAGCTGTAAAAACCAAATGAGTTGTTACAATCAAACGAATCGCGGACGTTTCGCCCACATTTATTATTAAGACATTTGGCCTCCAAGAGTTATATAGATTTATTTTAAATATAATATTTGTACAAATGTGACAGGAATAATTAATCATATATTATTTATAATTTATGATTACTTAATATAATTGTAACTTAATTATTATTATAATCATTATAATTGTTTTTTTTTATTGGTGCGTGCCTGTAACCGCTCGCCGATTGTGGCGTATATGGCTTATGCAATATACGGTTATTTTGGATTTAAATTTGTTGTGCAATTGTGCGTTTAAAATAATTTAAATTTTAAGTTAAAAAAAAAAAAGAGATTTAAATTTAGTGATTTAAAATTCCAGGGTCCAAACGTGTCTATTGGTAGGTATAAATAAATCTATATAACTCCCGGGGACCAAATGTCCTATCTTAATAATAGACGGGGACGAAACGTCCGAGGACTCGTTTTTTTGACGTGGACAAAACGGCGGAGGCGAAACGTCCTTTTACCCAATCAAATGAGGGGGCAAGGTTTACCTTCTCGACTAAACTGTTACACTTTTGGCTACATTTTTTACAAAATCAGTTAACAAACATTTACGAGCATCTTTTTGGCAAAAGCTATTTTTGGATTTTAGGGGTAATATTTCGTACTTTTAAAACTTCCATCTAAATCTTCTTAAAACCATCCATACATTGATAGATAAAAATAATTTAGTATCAAATACGTTAAAATAATTTCATGTTTTCTTACTTTTCATAAGACACTTATTTTACTATTTAAAAAGTATCAAGTAATACAACAGTTAAAAATAATAATGTATATTATAACTTTTAGATAAATGTTAAAAATATGAAAAAAACAAAATCAACATAAATCGATCAACTTATAAAAACAATAAAATAAAGAATGTAACATCAGTATTCAGAAATAACGAAATATTGAACACATAAACAACTATATTATTTTTGTATAAGTATTATATTTAATTAATTAAATGATTAAAAAAAAAATACAAAATATTTTAAAAACTAATATATACATATATATATACACATATATATATATTAACATTGCATATATATTTGCATTTATTTTTAATTATGTATAATACATTTTTAAATTTTTAAAATAATTCAGGATTATTTTAATTTTTATATTAACTTTTGGCTTGTATTTTAATTAAAATAACATCATTTTCTTTAAAATAAATAATATCTCTGGTGAGAATACTAAAATGTATGTTTTACCTATTTGATAATTTTACATACCTACCTATAAGATTATAAATTATCCTTTCAAGAAATTTGTTATTTTATACTACTATTAAGTTTTTCAACTTATATTATGTTTTTATTTATATACTATTACAATGTCAATCTATAATAAGTATATTGATATTTTTTGTTTTATATTTAAAAAAAATAATAATAAAATTGAGCAATATACGATATGTCTTAATAATGGTTGTTGATTAATTTTGGAAACCTTGTTTTAAAAATGTAAAAAATTACTACCAAAAATGCACTAACATTTTTTATTATTTATTTAATGAATGATTTCTGCATACGTAGTTCGTATTAAACAATTAAAATTGTTATCGTCATCAACTATTATACCATAGACCTATAATAGAAATTCTATTATACGTCTATGTATTATACCATTATTTAATGACAACGATAACATAAGACGATAAAATGTTGTCAATAATTTGATCGAAAAAAAATATTAAATACAAGAAAATTTTTTTAATTTTTCCAATTAAAAATTCTGGTATGTCGAAATTCCAAAGAATAATAGTTTAGGTTAGAACTGAAACCGATAATTATTATTCATAAGCACCGATAGGTATTGAAATTTGTTTTTTTTTTCCGGCAGGAACCGAAATCAATAAAATCGTAGTTTCCCCTGATAAAAAATGAAAAAATCATTAGTTTTATGAATTAGGTCTATGAAAATCTGTAAAATTCATTTTTTTGTTTTCGTGGATTAATCAATTCTCTTATCAACTTTTTTTCGATAACTAGAAACGGAAGAGGGCATGTACTATCAATTATCATGGTACACTATAGAGTCATACCATATTATTCTGTGATAGAGATACACGCAACACTATTTAATTACTAAGTATCTGTAAATTATTAAATTATTGTTAAGGTGTATTGTACTAATTATTTTGTTTGTAATATTATATTTTATTAGGTTATAGTGTACGATTATTAATTTTTCACATTTTTTTTTTTTTTTATTGATTATATTTTTAATATTTGTTGAAAATGTATGCTAAGATTTTTAGTTAGTGAAAACAATATATTATTCTGAACTTGTATTTTAACTATTGTAAAAATAATAATATCTTAGAAGACATGGAGTTAGAATCAAAAAACAATATCATTCCACCAATTGAAACTTCAAAAATGTCTGCATTTATAAATGCTGAACAAGGGGATTCTTCAGAACTGCCAATTAATCATACTATAGAGAATGAATGTAATACTAAAGATGAAATTTTTGAACCAGTAAATGAAAACGAAATAAAAGAAGAAACTTATCAAGATATTTTGGGTTCTGGTGATTTGTTAAAAAAAATCATTAAACATGGAATTTCAGATGACCGTCCAATGAAAGGTGAACAAATTTTGATTAATTTAGTTGGTCGCTTAGAAGAAAAAGATGATATAATAGAAGAAGAAAAAAATTTAGAAATTACTCTTGGTGATTGTGAGGTAAAGTATTCATTTTTTATTAATATTTAATATTTTCTAATCTATTTGCATTTATTTCAGGTAATACAAGGTGTTGACTTAGCTTTAAGCTTAATGAATGTAGGAGAAATAGCTGAATTAAAAATAGCATCACGATTTGGTTATGGTGATAAAGGTTTAGAACCTATGGTTCCTAGTGGTGCTAAACTACTTTATACTGTTGAATTGATATCTATAAAACCTGAAATAATTCCTGACGATCTTACTCCCGATGAAAGGCTTAGAATTGGGTTTGTATATATTTATCTTATCATTTAAATAAATTATTGTATAATTATTATTTCTCTGAACGTGAATATAATATATATTATTTTCATAATAATTTTCATTTGAGCTCCATATGAATTTTATTATAAATAAAATAAAATTTTCACATTTTAATTTTTTTAAGTTTATATTTATATAAATAATAAATAAACATATATATGAAAATATTATTAAACTTAAAAAGATATTCATATATTAAATTTATTTAAGTAGAATTTGATTAGTTAAAATTATTTTCAAACTTCATTTCCTAGGACAAACATTATACCTATTATTTGTAATATTTTTTATAAATCTTAAATTACAGGTTTATAATTGTATTGACTGAATTTACGGTGATACAATATTTTATTAAATTAACTGCATTTTTCCAATACTAGATTAATTTGATTAAATTTTTAATAATTGTATTGTATTTGTAATGATCAGATTATTATATGTTATAGGCGAAAAAAAAAAGATAAAGGTAACTGGTGGTATGCACGCAATGAAAATACAATGGCTTTACATGTATATCGTAAAGCTCTTCAATATTTTGGTGGACCAGGAGAAACAGTATGATTATGATTTTATTAATTATAAAATATATTATTTAAAATTTTATTTTGCGTAAGAGTTGATTGCCTAAATTATAAATTAATTTAACGTAAATAAAATGTAAAGAAATAATAAATAGTAAATTAACTAAGAAATTTGAGAAACAGTTTTTTTGAGCCAAACCTAAAAAATATAGTATTTTTTTATAATTACTAGTTCTTATTAGTGTTTCGATTGAAAATGTGAATTAATACATACGTAAAAATGAAGTGCACAATTGTTTGAATGAAAAAATATGCGAATACTTGAATATAATATATAAGTGAAAAATTATACAAGTACATGGAGTTTTCAAGTTTACGTTTTTATATTTTTGAATATTAATTTCATGAAAAAAACAATCAAAGGATGTACATGTGAAATAGAAAATTCTAGTTCTTATTGTTATGAATTATTGAATTTGTTTGGTACAGCTCTCCATATCTCTTGTTATTTACCTAGGTGTATTTGTAATATCATTAATTATTTCCTATCTTTATAGATTTTATTCATGACATGTCATATTAAATATGGTTAAATTTTAACCTCATTGGTTATTAAATTTTGATATCCTTTTTAACTTCCTCTTCAGTTTTTGTTATAAGCTTAACTGCCTTAATACATATATATCTTATCTATTGAAATATTTCAAATATTTTGACCATAATTTCTGCATTTTATTCTGTCTAGCTTTTTTTCATTTGACTCTTAGCTTATAAAATATTGTGTACTTACAAAAGCGCCACATCTCATAGACCTTAGCTAATTTTTTTCTACTACAGTTATTTGGAATTTGCAGTCTATTAGCACCACTATTCATATGCAATTTTCATTCATAGACTTAAAAAAGTTTTTATTATTATTTTATTTATCTCTTATATTATTCTCTGTATATGAAGTTATTTATTTACTACTCAATCTATATGGTCATTATCTATAGTTATACTGAGATAAACCTGGCCTAATTTACTATTCACTATGAATTTTTTTTTTTTTATTGCATTTCATAACTTTTGCTAAACATGTGCATTCTTTGTAAAATAATTTTAAAAATTTTTTGTGCATTATTCTTTTTTCTATTCAAATGTCATTTTATAATTTTATTCTCTGTACTTTGATATATTTTTAATTATTATTTTATATTTACTTTAATTTATTAATACCTTTATTTTAAGTGAACGTTTTATAATATGTTTTATATTTTTAATTTAATTTAGAACTTATAAGTTTTAAAACAGTATAATGTATTAATTATTTTTATTTTTAGGTTGTTTTTGATTTTAAACATGATGATATTCAAAATGAACGTAACAAAATATTAAATAATATGGCAGCTGTACATATGTCAATGAATAGTTTAGATTTAGCACTGCAAGCTCTGGACACTGTTCTTTCTATTGAGCCTATGAATGAAAAAGCAATTATGCGCAAGGGTAAAGTACTAGCATTAAAAGGACAAAATATGGCAGCTGCTCAAGAACTTAAGAAAGCATTAAAAATAAACTCTAACAATAAAACAGTTCAAAATATTTTAAGTAATGTTGAAGCAGCATTAGTAAAAGAAAGAGTCCAAGAAAGAGAATTGTACAAAAAAATGTTGGGACAAAAAGTTGACACTGAAAAATCAATACCAGACAATAACAAATCGGTATAATGCTATATTATTTGTTTAATTCTTAGGTTAATCATTTTTGGTCTAATTCGATCGATTATAATTTGAAATTGAGTAGGTTTATTTAATTGAATCTTTAAATCATAATGTTATTAATAAATTAAGAATGTCATATTTCTTCAATGTATGACAATTTAATCTTAAAATAATAAAATTTCCATGACTTACATGATGTGTGTAATATACATTTTTCAATTTACAATCCTTGTAAATTAAGCCAATTATTTCATAAAAATATAAATTATAATTTTTTTTATAATAACAATAATTATAAGATATTTATTATATAAGAGTTATTATTCACTATATATTTACTACTTATCTATTTTGTTTTAGAACACTACATTTATAATCAGTGGGCTTGTTGCTGGCTTAGCAGTAATTTGTGGATACTGTTACCTAAACAACAACTTTCCATTTACCAAATTTAACACATTATAATTTATGTAATGTTAAATTCTTACATTCAGCAAACAAATACAAACATTTTATACTTTTTACTGTAAATCTGTCAATTTTAATTTTTAATTATATTTTTTTTAAAAAAAACAAATGGTCAACTATGTTATTTAATATTAGCATTTTTTTTTTTTTTATTATGGATTTTTGTTATTCTTATCTCTGTTTAATTTATTTTGATTAGTATGATTTTATAAATATTTAGTAAAGAATTAATGAATATCTGATTTTGTTAAATTTATTTATTCATATTTATAAACAAATTCATTTTATATATTTGATTAATTTATTAATAACACATTTATCCCAAAATTTTGTAGCTACCACATTTAATGTTTTGTGAGTAAAACATTCAATATCAACAATTTTGAAAGCATAGAAGTTTTACACTGCTTGACACTTAAATTGAACATATTTAAGTTTAATTGGGTTTTCCACACTCCCAATATTTGGGCTCTAGTTATAGAGCCTATGCAGGATTGAAATTATATGTGTTTGGTAAAGTTCCGGTAAATTTTAAACTCATTATATTCTGCATTATTTTTAGTTGGCATTCTTGTGAATAATCTTTTCTCCAATTGCCTTTTGGATGGTTTTCTACGTATAAAAAATATGAAAAATTATCCATTAATACAAGGGCATGTTATAAAAAAAAAAAATCAACTATTCTGGGATTCGTTTGATTATGTTAGTCGGTGGAATAGTCTGTATCATTGCAGAATACTAGTTTTAACCCTTGAATAAAATCATTTAGAGCACACAGCATGGAATACAATAAACCGTTCTCTTTTTCAAGTTTACACTTTCATCCCTTTGTTATTACATGTATTTGTTTATAGTAAATATTAATAGATTATAACAATTTATATTAAGTTTATCATTACTATTATAAAGCTTTGTTTAGGCTTGTGTAACATTTATAGCTACATTTTTAAAAAAAATTATATTAACTAGTCAATATATGTTGTACAACAATAATTACAGAACAATACTGAATCTAACATTACGTTTGTATAGACTATCGACTACTGTCTATCCCATCAATTTATAGATCTAAACAAATTTTATGACTAAGAATTAAGATATTCTAAATATAATCATTGATTATAATACTTATATTCAATGGTTTAATTCAATTTTCTTATTTTCCTTCTCCTTTATCTTTCCCCAAATTATTTGGGGACGACCATTTAGGTTGGTTTAATTCAATGTAAATCTAAAAAAACCATGTACAAATATAATTAAAGATAACACACAAAAGCACAGATATTGATATCAATCATAGAGTAATATTACTCTATGATATCAATGTATATTATTGTACGTAACCTATTTTAGTACTACTGATGATTTCTACAGCAGTAGCAAACATAAATTACTTATAATAATTACTATTATTAATATTATATAATAATGAATTACTTGTCAATTTATTTACATTTGACATGTTATTTAGGTAAAAATGTATTACGATAGATAATGGGTCACGATGTAGAGAAGTTTTTTTTATATTGGTAATCTGTGCTAATAATATCAACCGTGGTTTCTTATCATTGCCAACCAGTGACGTGTTCTTGTTTTCGAAGTATTACTAAAAAATTAATTTATAGCAATATATAATAAAAGCAAATTGAGAAAAACGCCTCATCGACGTGTACTTAAGGTAATTTTCTTAATTACTTAATATATTTCATAATTACAGAAAAATCAAATAAAATCTACTGTACTTTTTTTGACTTAAACAATTTTAGAGTTATCCATAATTTTGTATTTATTAAATGATAATTTCTATATTTCACCCAATGTAATTAAAGTTTAAAATATTGTTTTGCTTTATTAATATATTTATCCTTTGCATTGTATTATCTTACATTGTTGTACATTTTTAATTTTTCATCTTAATAGATTATCATATTCTGATTAAAATTTGGTGGCCTTAAATAAAAATACAAATGTAAATTTACCAAACATTTATATAATATATTCATAATTTATCCATAATTATTAAACCTATTGAAAAGTAGTATATTTTAATAATAATTTGATTTAACAATATATTTTCTTCATTATTTGTGTTTTCTTGTTATCTTTTATAGATGTCAACCTACGAAGAATTTATTGAGCAAAATGAAGAACGGGACGGAGTCCGCTTGTCATGGAATGTATGGCCAGCAAGTAGATTAGAAGCTACTCGTTTAGTTGTACCTGTAGGTTGTTTGTATCAGCCATTGAAAGAAAGACCTGGTTCGTAAAACAGTAAACCATGTAAACTTAGTATTAATCAATAATTACTAATATATTTTATTGAGGAATAGATTTACCTCCAATACAGTATGATCCTGTTGTGTGTACACGTAATACTTGTCGAGCAATATTAAATCCATTATGCCAAGTGGATTATAGAGGAAAAATGTGGATATGTAATTTTTGTTTTCAATGTAATTCAGTAAGTACTACTAATTTATTTTTACTTATTTAAGTTCTTTCAAAAATTTATATTTTTCTAGTTTCCTCCTCAATATGGTGCGATTTCAGAGCAACACCAACCAGCTGAACTTATCCCAGCTTTTTCTACCATTGAATACTCTATAACGGTAAAATATATAAAATTATTTTCATAAGTGATTTATAAATATATTTATATTATACTTAATTTAGAGAGCTAAAACGATGCCACCAATATTTTTGTTCGTTGTGGATACTTGTATGGATGATGAAGAACTAGGTGCACTCAAAGATTCATTACAAATGTCTCTTAGTTTATTACCACCTAATGCTCTTGTCGGTTTAATTACATTTGGAAATGTTGTTCAGGTAAAAATTATATTTCAAAATGTATTTACTTTAGCTTATATGTATCAATTTATATTTTAGGTTCATGAATTGGGATGTGAAGGTATTTCCAAGTCATATGTCTTTAGAGGTACTAAAGATTTACCACCAAAGCAAATTCAAGATATATTAGGAATTGGTAAATATGCTACACCAACTGCTCAATCTGGTGTACCACAACAGCAACAGCAAGTTAATGCACCTTCAAATAGGTATTTTCAAAAATTATCCATTTATTTTACTTTTTCAAACAATAAATATTCATAGAAATTGTTGATATACTTTTGTAGATTTATACAACCTGTCCAAAATTGTGATGTTAATATGTCAGACCTGTTGAATGAACTTTTAAAAGATCCATGGCCTGTTTCCCAAGGCATGAGACCACTTAGAAGCACGGGCATGGCATTATCAATTGCTGTTAGCTTACTAGAGGTAATTAATATTATTAAATATCAATATTTTTTAATGTATTTAATTAAATTTTTTTTTATATAGTCATCTTATCCACATGCTGGTGCCCGTATAATGTTATTTGTTGGCGGAGCTTGTTCTCAAGGTCCTGGTCATGTTGTTAATGAAAAATTGTCTGACACAATTCGTTCCCATGATCAAATAATGAAAGATAATGCTCCATACATGAAAAAAGCTACTAAACATTATGATACCTTAGCAGTTCGTGCTGCAACCAATGGACATACTATTGATATTTATGCTTGTGCGTTAGATCAAACTGGTTTGATGGAGATGAAACAATGTTGTAATTCAACAGGGTTTGTTAATTTAATACAAAAATGAATATAAATACGATTGCTTCATTTTTAAATTTTTAGGGGTCATATGGTTATGGGTGATTCATTCAATTCATCTTTATTTAAACAAACGTTTCAAAGAGTATTAGCGCGGGATCATGAAAATAACTTAAAGATGGCATTTAATGCTAATTTGGAAGTAAAAACTTCAAGAGAAATAAAAAGTGATGAGTTATAAATATTTGTATTATAATAATGATGGATTTATTTATGATTTAATTATTCTTTCATTTAGTCATGGGAGCTATTGGTCCTTGTGTTTCATTAAATATCAAGAATCCATGTGTATCTGATTGCGATTTAGGATTAGGTGGAACATGTCAATGGAAAATGTGCAGTTTAATGCCCAATACAACTTGTGCCTTTTTCTTTGAAATTGTTAATCAAGTATGTAGTTTTTAAATTAATGATAATATTTTAAGATCTTTATTAATTAAAATTAGTAACTTAAATGGTTGTGGGAAATCTTTTCCAATTTGTATCCAGCCTTATTATTGTGAAAATAATTACACTCTTATATTGATCTAATTTAATATTACTATTTATTTTTTAGCATGGCTCACCAATACCACAAGGAGGACGTGGTTGTATACAATTCATCACTCAATATCAACATTCCAGTGGATACAAACGAATAAGAGTCACAACATTAGCTAGAAAGTATGAAATTATATTATTCTTTATACATTTTTTCTACATATTTAACTTTTAGTTGGGCAGACCCTGTTCAGAATATGATACATGTAAGTGCTGGCTTTGATCAAGAAGCATCAGCAGTCTTAATGGCTCGTATGGTAGTGAACCGTGCAGAAACTGAAGATAGTCCAGATGTAATGCGATGGGCTGATCGTACTCTTATACGCTTGGTAATATATTACATGCTTTTTTTTCAAATAAATTTACAAAATAATTTTTTTTATCAGTGTCAGAAATTTGGAGATTATCAAAAAGATGATCCTAACAGTTTTCGATTACCAGAAAACTTCAGTTTATATCCACAGTTTATGTATCATTTAAGACGGTCTCAATTTTTACAAGTTTTTAATAATAGTCCGGATGAAACTTCTTACTACAGGTTAGGATGTATAGAATATATATTGTTAAGTATATTTATATAAAGTATTTAACAATATTATGTTGTTTAGTTGATAACATATTTTTATTTTTTAGACATATGTTAATGCGTGAAGATGTTACCCAAAGTTTAATCATGATACAACCAATTCTGTACAGTTATAGTTTTAATGGTAGGCCTGAACCTGTGCTCTTAGATACCAGTAGTATTCAAGCTGATAAAATATTATTAATGGACACATTTTTCCATATTTTGATATTCCATGGAGAGGTCAGTTTTTTACAATTACTAATGATTGATTATAACAATTATAATACAATTGTTATTATAATATAAAAAATGTATTAAAAAATAAAAAACATTTATACATTTAATTTCAGACTATTGCTCAATGGAGAGCTATGGATTATCAAAATAGGCCTGAGTATAGTAATTTCAAACAACTGCTTCAAGCACCTGTTGATGATGCTCAAGAAATTCTTAAAACTCGATTTCCAATGCCTCGGTATATTGATACCGAACAAGGTGGCAGCCAAGTTAGTTTTTATAACTATATAGTTATATACATTTATACGATGAATTTTATTTCAATTTTAGGCAAGATTTTTACTGTGCAAAGTTAATCCATCTCAAACTCATAATAATATGTATGCTTATGGTGGTGTAAGTATAAAAATAGTTTAATTAAATTATGTGAAAATGTAGTAACTTTAATTTACATTTTAGGATGGTGGAGCACCTGTTCTAACAGATGATGTAAGCTTGCAACTATTTATGGAACATTTAAAAAAGTTAGCAGTATCATCAAATGCTTAGAAAGTATTTTAAATTATAATATATTTTTGTTTAAATTTTTTACATGTAATTTTTCAAAATATTTGTCTTTATCAATGATCCCTTTTATGAAAAATTAGAACTAAATTTGTAAATTATAAATATATATCGTACTATATTCAATACATTTTACCTAAATCTATTCTTTTAGTATTAAAACATTAAATTTAATTAAGTTATTTATTATTATATCAACATATTCAATTTCTAGTTATATAAAAAAATATATGAGGGAATGCTTTGTTTATAATAAATATCAGTTAAAAATATTAATTCAAAAACCGAATTGACATTTTATGTTCAATATCAGACTTTTCAAAAGTTTTACTGAATTCTTCAAATGAAATTAAACCATCTCCATTTATGTCTGCTTCAGAAATGGTTTTATCTGCTATTATAGACAACTGTTCTTCACTAAAAACAAACACATCAGTCAGCAAAAAAGTAAAATATTGGGCATTCGTGTAGCAGGTGATTCACGAATTCAGGACGAGTGATCTACTTTTTAATAGTATAAAAACACATTATATTTTTTACTACGAGTATGTTATATCATACAAATATTCGTCAAATATAAAAATTAAAAATAATTAGCCAAATATAATTATAATTTTAATTACAATAAATATTTTATAAAATTCAGATGCACGCATTATAGATAAACTCCGATCAATGAACAATTTGAAACTAATCTATCCAGCAACATTGCTAATGACTAGACCGCGGATTATATGCATTTGCATATAATCGGCTTTTTTTTTACCAAAGATGCATATTTCATTGATTCGTAATGTAAATAGAACATAATTGTATTTTTATACAAGAAACACACTGATTAAATGTCTTAAAACAAATACTATATAGATATATAGCACATAATAACCGAACTAATTGACCTGATGAGTTTCTACTACCGTCGTTAAATATAAATATTATTTCGAGTTTTCGATAAAATATCGTTTAATTGTTTGCACAAGCCATGTTCGAACAAAATAAATTCATATTTCTTTTTGTGTACGCTTTTCAGTCTCATTTTCGTGATCCACCAAAACGTACACGTTAAAATATTAATTTATTTAATAAGATGCCTCCTATTAAAACACACGTATTCATGTTTGGATAAATGAATATCCAGGCACGTTTACTACTGACGGAATGGTTGTGTACTGCCAGATGTGTGGGAAAAAATCCCGTGTTCAAAGAAGTTTCAAATTATCCAGCATATACGTACAGCAACTCATATAGCAGCCTCCAAAAAGAAAAGTAAGATAACCTATACTTCTGGTAGCCAGGCGCTTATATCACAGTCTTGAACTAACAGTATGACACGTAAGGATGATTTCAGTAATGATTTCAGCGAGGCATTAATAGCAAGTAACATTCCTTTGAAAAAACTAAGTAATCTGAAATTCCGTAGTTTTCTGAAAAAATATTGCAGGAATCAAAACATACCAGACGAATCCACTTAAAGAAAAAATTACATTTATATAAACACTTACATTTTTTTTTTCTTTAGAAATGTCTTGGAAAAATTAGAAGTGTTATTGAAAAAAACCTAATTTGGATTTTGGCAGATGAGACGACAGATTCGTGTGGGCGTTAAATTGCGAATTTATTTATTGGAAAATTATCTCTAGAACTTTCTTCCGCATATCTCATTGTTTCTAAAGCACTTGAAAAAGTCAACCATTCAACTATAGCTCGATTCATAAACGATAGTATCACGGCATTTTTTGTCGATACTTCTATCGCTGAGAGAGTCTGTATTTTTATTTCTGATGCAGTTCCATACATGACGAAAGCTGGAGCAACCTTCAAAATTGTCTACCCAAACTTGATCCACGTAACTTGCTTTGCTCATACTATTCATCGCTTTGCTGAAGAAATTCGAAATGAGTTTTTGAATGTGAACTAACTTATTTCTGCCGTGAAAAAAGTATTCATGAAAGCACCATCGCGAATACAAACTTACAGAAAACAATTGCCAACTCTACCACGGCCACCAGAACCTGTTATTACGCGATGGGATACTTGGATCAAAAGCGCTTCCTTCTACAGTGAGCATGAAAATAAAAGGGGTAATTAACCAATTTAAACGTTTTGGCGCTTTATCAATTTGTGATGCTAAGAAAGCATTTGAAACTCCGTCGATACAACATGATTTAAATTTGATTTATACACATTTTTCTAAAATACCAGAACTAATTACAAGTTTAGAATTAAGAAATTTGCTACTAAAAAATTCATTAAAAGTTATGGAGGAATTATTGACAATAGAGCCTGCACTGCCTGACGTATTTTCAGAAAAAATCAGAATACAGATTACTCGGTTATTAAACAAAATTCCTGGAGCTATGATTCCCTAAGTATGATCGACACTTACATTAATGGCACATTTACTGTATTACTCAACACAATAACGAGTAACATGGCTTCTAAGTTTAAATACTGTCCTGTGACGTCCTGTAATGTTGAACGGTCATTTTTATTAATTTAAACTTATTTTGGATGACAAGTGCCATAGTTTTACAATGGACCATTTGAAGCAACATTTAGTAATATACTGTTACGAGAACTATAGTTCTAAATAAATATACTTAAATCTTATATAGTAATTATTATTTATAATAAATTTCATCATCATCATTTTTCCGTATTTTTTTTTTTTTTTTAATTTAATTTATAGTGCATATTTTAACATAGTCTAAGCATATTTCTGTATTTTATGATGCATATTTGCAGTGGTTAAAGTGGTGAGGGACGGAAGGGGATGGAGTCCTCCTTCTTATTTAAGATAAGATTATACGTCCTCTTTAAGTCGCCAAAAGTCTGGGTGGACGCTTAATGGCATTGGTCATTAAAATATAATATTGAATAAAAAATACTTATTATATATTACAATATTACTTGAAATTTATTTTCTTAATTAACTTGAAAAAGTGGAAAAAATTTCGAAGAAATAATATGTAGGTATAACGATAAGCAAAAATGGTAGATAATGTACACCATGGGTTAATTTAATTAACGCTGTGTCTAATTATAGATGATCTCCGATCGGTTATTACCCATAGCTCTAAAATTAAAGTGATTGTGATATCGACTATTATTTAGAATAAATATAAACAGAAAAGAATAACTATAAAAAGTATAAATATTAAATTGTAATATACACTATCTTATAGACAGTACTTATGTGCAATGTACGTATTTGTTACTGTCCACGTTGACCAACAACTAGCAAGATTAGTAATTGTTTCTTTTTAGTTTTGTTAAGTTTAAGTAAAGTTTTTTAAACATTATCTACTATATATTTCAATTTATTTTTACTGAACAGGCATAGGTATAGAATTATTTTTCTTAAGGAGAAATTCGTTTTTACACCCTATGAAAATAAAGTTTTTATGAACATATATGTATAAAAGAAGAGGTTTAGACCTCATGGGTTTCCTAAAAAAGGTTGGTAAGATTTAAAATTAAGTAGGGGTACGCTCCTCAAATTTGATGAATATAGTCCCCCCCACAACATTTTTCTCACTTTAATCACTGCATATTTGCATGCATATAATAGAGTATTTTCACTGCATATAATCCGCGGTCTACTAATGATTCATAGTTATATTGTAAATGTCATTAATCATTATCGCAATACTGTCCCACTGCGGTCTACGATAATGTGCGTATAATAATTTTAGATCACCAACTACGCCTTGTATAATACGGTAGATCATCTGCTACACGAACACCGAATATTGCTCTTATATTTGATAAATTATAAAGTTACCTGATATTGGCGCCTACCATCATATGTAAAATAACTAATAACTCATCTTTAGATATCAAACCGTCATTGTCAATATCATACATATCAAAAGCAACTGTAATCATAAGAATGTTACATATTATAATAAATTTAAAATTTACTTTATTTTAAATAAACTGTGATTACATTTTACTTTTTCCATTCTATTGTTTTCTTTGTTTGGTCGAATTGGTCTAAATTTTGATAGCACTCTCATGAATTGTAAAAAATTTATACGATCACAATTATTTCCAGAATCCATGTGAAATAAATCAACTATTCTTTCTCCCAATGGATTTATAGCTAATTCGGGTATGCGCAATAAATCTTCCCTGCTTAGTGTACCCAAATCACCTCTATCTAAACTGGTGAATCTACTGTAAAGCCGTTCTATCTGGTTTGCAGTAACTGTAAATTTGACAGGATCAAAGAATTAAATTAAAACATATATTAAACATGTAAGTATTTCGTAAGTATTGTATTTTATAATTCATAAAACATATAACCACATAGGTAAATAGATATATCTAAAACAAATCTAAATATTAATTATAATTTATATTAACATTTAAAATTCTAATTCTTCGCAAGAAATATCAATAATAATTCATTTCAGCATAACATATATTTTTAATTAAGTATATTTGAAGAATATAAAATAAGTATCCATTTAATAAAAACTAAAAATCATAGTTTATTAAGTTTAAGAACCATTATTATTTAGCAATGATATTTAAGTTTTCATAGGTTATCATTAACCTAACCCATTGAGTTTTTTTAATGATTTTACTAATTTATACATCATGAAGTCATTGATATACCAATGATGATTAAAATAATAATTGGTATGTACTTGAAACTTAAAATAAATTACTTACATCCAGTTTCATTCCTAATTTGAGCAATTTCTTCTTTACGCAAAAGTAATGATGATCGATTACCCATTTTCAAAAATTAATTGTCAAAAAAAAGTATGTACTGTTAAATAAATAAAAGTTTTATTTCATCTTCGTGTCCTTGACTCTAAAACAACTTATATCATAATATATAAATAATACAAAACCATTTAATTTCTATTGATTATCTATGCTACCACTAGTAACATATTCAACTTTGATCTTTTATCTATTATTAATGTGACGGGTACATATAATTAGTACCTTATGTTAACTACAACGAAAGTTTAATTCTTCAAAAAAATTTAATTCCTAAGTTATGAATTACAACTAATCCATAGATAAGAGATAATCCCACTGATAAGTGATAACATTCATTTTCAGTGTTTTTCATGGAAAAACTATTCGAATATATCGAATAAAAAATCAAAATGATAAGGCGTTAACGTTTTTTGTCAATTGTTATTCTTATCAGTAATCATTTAACACAATAGTGATTAGGTATCTCAAAATAAAATAAATTTAAGATAATTTCAAATTTTACTGAATAATTCAGAAGTCGTAAACTATCGAATAATTGAATAATTTTAAATTATCGAATAATTCAAATAGTTTCGAATATTTCAAAAAATTATCAAAGAATTCGAATATGCTGGACTATCGTATAGTTCGATAGTACTATTCGATAGTGCCCATCACTAGTTTTAAGTTCCCTAATATTTAATGGCATTAAATATTGCTCATAAGCAAATTATTTAAGTATTTTACAGCTTGCGATTGGGTTACCCATAACAGATATTACATTTAAAAATAATTAGGTATGCTTTTTCCAACATGATTTATGATACCTTTACTTAATCATATTTCACTAATAAGTAAATGTTAATTTATTCTGTGATATAAATTCTATTGTATAGATCATCACCGAGCTAGCTAGTAAAGTGAAGTACGATATTTTTATTTATAATTACATTAAGAGACATGTTTAGCCTAATTACAGTAATCTATCTAAAAATGTAGTTTTGAATAATTTGATACTACAAAACAAATTTTAGAAAAACAACTTTACCGACTTATAAAGTCATGGTTGTCGTACAATTCCAATTAGGTAGTTTATTCTCACATAAAAAATTCGTGGTCGTCGTTGCAATACAATAACCGCTTCATTAATCTTGTCATCCTCATAGTAATCAAATAATATTCTGTGATTCATGTTCAACAAAAAAGTTTATTTTTTTTTTTTGTAAACAATTTCAAATTTCAATAAAGCACAGAAAAAAAATTATAATAACATTGATAGCCTATAGTTGAGCTCTCTATTACCTAGAAATATCAAGAGTTAAAATCCGGGAGTCAAGAATTACATTACCAAGGAGCAGTGGCGTTCTCAGTAATTTTCAATGGGGGGGGGGCCCTGGAGGATCACTAGGAATAAATTATGGGGGGGGGGGGGGGTATGAAAAATTATATATTAAATGAAGGTTATAAATTAACTTATTTTTAATAACTATGAAAATTAGAATACATAAATTTAATTACAGGAAAAAGTCTAATTTTTGAGGTAGATTTGCAAAATTATTTATCACTTCTTCAGTGTTTATTGAAATACTTTGATGAATTGACATGAGATAATCCTGTTAGTCGATTTTCGCTTGTACTATTTCTCAAGCACGACTTCAATCTTTTCAATATCGAAAACGATTTTTCTGATGACGCTGTTGAGACTGGTAAAGTTACTAATATTGACATTAAGCACCATATATTTGGAAAAAAATCAACGAATAGTTTATTCAAAGTATCAATAGCAGATTTGGATTTCTGACAAACCACGGAACATTTACAATTATTTTGAGGACTTTGTTTTGGACAATTTGCATTTTTTTGATGTGCGAGAATGCATAATTACCCCATACCGTGCAAGCGTAGGTAAGAATTGGGCGTATAATTTGCTTAAAAATTAGGAGAGCATTTTTTTCCCATACTAGACAGTTTGGTTTTAATTAATACATAGATTAAAGAAATGCACACGTGGGTCGTACTAACCATAAATTTCGGGGGGGGTTTGAACCCCCCCCCCCCCCCTATATACGACACTGGGGAGGGCTCTGCCTCCCACACCACCATAGTCATAATAATTACAAATTTTGTACTGTTTTAAAAAACCATATTATCACAAATCGTCACCAAATTGTTAAATTGATAGCACGGTCGTGTCATAGAACATGTTCTATGGTCGTGCTCCAATCCAACTTGATAACCGTGATACTGGTAACTAATTTAAAACTACTTATAAACCACTAAATTATAATCAATAAAATCAATAATCAATTATTATTAGATTATTGGAATAATTTTTAAAAAATACGGTCAAAGGGGGGGGGAGGTTAAATACCCCATGACCCCCCCCTGTGAGTAAGCCATTGCCAAGGAGGTATCACTTAACTCTGGTTCGTTAAATTACTTTTTTGCGCTAACTTAAAATTATCGGTAACTCACAGTTTAACTCTACACAGTGCTATAGTTCTAAAAAAAGCAGAGGGTATTCTATGATTTATAATATTAAACATTTATACTATCATTAGGTATTATATCTTAACGTAGCTAAAACGCATAATCGCCTAACCGAATACTTCAATAATACAACACACATACATTTGTACAAATTAATTTTTTTATTAAAGTATTTTACTAAAATATTTTATTGAAAAGTATTCCATAAATGTTGTCTGGGTCCCAATTTTATTATTTTATATTATATTATTATATTATATTATTTATTTCTTCTCAATCTGGATTGGTTGTCATCAGCTGAACGATGGTCTTCTAGCTACGACCTCACGTACATTTCTGGGTTGAACACTTCAAATGTTGGTCCATTACTTTTAATAAACATTAATCTTGATACGTTTGAAATTAAAAGTGGTGCCCTCAGATTTATAATAGTATTATCATAAGGCTAAAACATTTTTTGCACTCAGATGTCGAACATTGGAATGATGCGATTGTATTTAAAATGGGTTCAAAGTTATCTAGTATAAGTTCATTATTTTCTTTAAAGGCTCTTAATCCTTGAACATCTTGTATTTCATTAACATCAAAACATCTACAAATCCTTCGTAATTTTAATTCTCCATACCTAGTACTTCCACTTCTTCCAGTTTTTATATTATTTAGATCTAGTGCTGAATATAACTTAACAATTGACAGTTCTCATCCTCTGACCTCGAACATAATCGAGTCGTCATTCTATCAACTATACTTTGAATACATTTCTTGTGATGTATAGCAACAATTTTTTTTATTCGGAACAAGTTCAATGTTATTAAATAGTAGTTTTGATTTAGCATTTAATGCTATTTGTGTATATTCTCCAGGTTCTTGCTTAAAACTTTCAAATATTCTAATTGTTATTTTTATTGACTGTTCAGCTTTTGGCAGCGTAATTGTTCGAGACTATAATTCATTCGATAACATTGAAAGTTCTTGAAGTACATCATACATAAGACCTAGATATAAAATTAATTCTGGACTTTTAAGTCTTTTTTTTTTCAAACCAATGAATGCTGCAATTGTATTTTTACATCAACTATTTTTCACCATCATTTTTAAAATGTCAAAGTAGATAAGTTTTAAAAAAAAAAAATGAAAAAAAAAAGCGTGTCCAGTAAAGTAACAAAGTTTCTAAATATATATTGTATTTTTTTAGAAACTAAATTTAAATAAAGTACTGTTTCATAAGATGCACGTTTTCCGTGTTATTAACGTTGTGTTTTGTAAAATTATTTAAAATGAATTGGTTAAGAATGAAAATAATTAATTTTTTTAGAAAACATTAAATATGCATATAAATATGCCAAAATCAATGAAAATCGATGAAATATGCTCTTTTTCTCTAAAATTAACGAAATATGCAAAATATACATTTTTAATTTTCAATTTTTAAACTCAATATTGTATAGCTCTAATTTCTAACTTGGTCTGCTATAAATCGAATGCATATAGATCAATATGAAACTCCTATAACTTCCGAGCCCTAGTTATAATATGTATGTGTAATACCACAAGATCAGCGCTAACAATAAATAATTTTCATAGTTCATTATTTTGGTACCTTATATAATAATCATGGACTGTTTCTTTTTTTTCTGTACGTTGACGATTTTTCTTTTTTATAAAAAAGTTGTTTTTAATAAAATTTAATTTTTTTGTCTCTTAAAACCATAATAGTACATTATTTTATTAATAATTGTCAAATACAATAATTTGTTCTTAATCTAAATGATTTTTTTTTTGTTCCGTTTTGACTCGAAAAATATATGGTCACCTTATGTTACACGAACATGTTACGACAGGTATGGACACGTCTTCGAACATTTTCACAAACACACAAAATTATACTATTATTATTTATAATAAGTTTTTAAGTTTAGTTATACGCCAACCTACGCCAACATGGACACGAGAACATACACAGATATTTCTTAGTTATTCGGCGAACAGTTTGTCAAACAGTTTGACGAACAGTTCGTCGATTTGTTACGCGGATGTAAATATCTAGTGTGGACGCGGCTTTAGATATTTTTAAATAATATATAATTAAATATTCTTTCTGGATAACCTGTGGTTTAGCGATTTATGTTTGTTGTTACCACGATTTATATCTTAAACCGTGGTTGTTACTAATATATTTTCGGTGATAACAATTTTCCTAATCATACTTTTAACCACCTATTATAAACTAATCAACCATCGTGGTATTGTGTGAATGTGTAACGAATTTATAAACATTCTAAACTCTCGTGTTTGAACAATACTGTAACACTATAGTGAAGTTTGTATTACTAATTGACGTTGCATCTGCGTGTTGTGTATGAACTTTTTGTATTTTCAATCTGTACTCAAGTTTTATAATTTTTTAGTTTAATTATACTAAGAAACTTACTGAAATCTAAAGTTCATATATATTATAATTCGTGTAATAATTTTTATTTCGTTTTGATTTTCATTATTGATTTCTTTATAAATGTTAATTATTTATTTGAATTGCTTGATTCCATTAAAAATTATATCAATTAATATTTGTTTCTTTTATTGTAATAAAAATTTCATAATTATAATTGAAAATGCGTATTAAATTGAATATCATGCAACTTACATTGAACAAGAATCCGTCTACTTATTGGCTTCACGTAAACTTAGATAACATTTTTCAAATAAAGCAACTTAAAAAAAAAATACAAAAAGTGTTAAAGGAATCTCGTGACATAGATCTATGTCTTGAAAATGTACCATTTCTCGATGAAGATGACATTAATGCAATTAATGAAAATGAAGAAATAACGTTTGTATAATTTTAAAAACTATAGTTTATTATTGATGTTTATAGAATTTACTATAGGTGTTAGTTGAATTTTTGTTTAGAGCATACAGAATAATTTGCTGGCTACATTTAATACCTAGCTACAGTGGCGTAACTGGAAAAAAACCTAGGGGGACAATATAATATATTTATTATTACCAAAACCCTGACATCCCTCCCCCTCACCAGTTGAAACATTTTTATTGTATGTATTTTATACACTATATCTAATTGTTTGATTTTACATAAGTCTTTTAACTCATTTTATGGTTTAGATAAATATAAATTGTAGGTAGCATGTACTAGGTACCAATATTGTTAAATAATATTCATAAGAGTTCATTAATAAAAGGTGCTATTTGTACTGTTGGATTATCTGGGGGGGGAGGGGGCAAAATTATACCTTTATGTCTCAAAAGATTGTCAGAGGGGTACTTGCCCTCCCTTGCCCCCCACAATTACGCCACTGCCTGGCTAGGTAATTTACTCATTTTTAATAAAGTAGTAAATTATTGTTAACAAAACTAATTTTCAATTTATTTTTATTGTAATTAGATGGATCATTAATATCAATATAATTTTTTCAATTAAACAACATTTAAAATTGTGTTTATTAAATTGTCATATTTTTTTGGTTTTTATAGAATATGTTAAATGAACCTAAGTATATGTATGGTATTTTAATTATATAGTATTATAATTAATAATTATTTTAATAAGTTATTTATAAAATTATAATAATTTTATTATTTTTAAATTTTATTAGTGTGGTAGTGAAAAAAAAAAATAACTGTACAAAATCAGAGTACTTCGAAACATATACTCAAAAGTTTGATACTAGCATTGATTATAAAATAAATTCTATAAACAATGACACAAGTAATATTTCTTCCGACAATATTTTATCTACTGGAAATATAAAATCAAATCTTGAAAATGATCATGAAAGTTCAGTTTCATCAGTTGTACAAACAGTTTCTAAGAAAAGAATTCGCAAAAGAACACATAAAAAAAAAAAGCAAGTTGAACAAGTTGAACCAATTGAAAATGTAATTTTTTGAATTTAACATTTTTTAAATTTTACAACCATTTGCTTTAATTTTTTTTTTTTTTTTAGAATTATTTAAATACACAATCTGAAACTTCTGTTACATCTTTTAAAAAATCTAGTAAAATGCATAAACGTTTTAAATTAGAAAATGAACAAGGGAATGAAGATAATAGCTCATCAGGATCAGATGAATCTCTTCATGTACAAAGAGAAGTTTTTCGTTGTAATTCTTCTTCACAAAATGTTGTTAAAAAAGATGATGCTATCCAACCTAGTATGAATAATTCAATTTAAATCTTAGAGCTTTAAATGTGTTATATATCTGTATTTAATTTCAGTTTGGAAAAAAAAAAGTCCATTAAGAACTAAAGTCACTAAGGTACCAGTATTTGTACGTGGTCAAACATGTATACCTACGAACTCTACAGAAAATATTTCATATGCTGATAATGGAAATATCCAGAATAATGATAGCAATACCAGTGAAGATTATGATATGTTAGTTGTTGATTGGAAGAATATGAATCCTGTAAAAATATCACATATTTCAGAGTTACAAATTCATGATTTGATACAATTCAAAGTAAGTATTTATATGGTTTTATTTCTTTAGAAAAATAAAATAAAAATAAAAAATATTTGTATTTTATGTTTAAACCCAGACATTATTCATGAATGAATGTGGTGAACCAGGAATGTCATCTGTAATAACTGCACGTTTGGAACACATTTATAAAAACACATTACACATCCAAGTTCTTTGTAAGTTAAAATTTATAATAATTTTACCTAAACAAAAATGTTTTAATTTATAATTATATAAACTAATTTTTTAGCTGGTATTAAAGAATTTATGATGCTTAATTCAAAATTCAACATTGATGATGAAAATAATGGAACTCAACGCGAAGTCGAATTCAATGATCTTTTTGAAGTTTTTAAACTCGTTTAGACTTGTGATATTTAATAATTATTTTTAATACACATTTAATGCCCATTTGTGTTTTTTGTACAATTATTTAAAAAAAAATGTATTATTTATAAATTTAGTTTTCATATAATTTTAAGTACCTAAAATTAAAAAATGGTTTTTTACTTGTGTTCTGCGACCTATACTCTTATATACTATATAATATGTGCTATATAAATAGTAAATATAATAATAGTATGCTCTTCTTGTTTGTATTGATAATTGCAAGCTCATACGATGATACAAAATCCAAAAAATTTTCTCTAACCACATTCCTCTCGCTAAAACTCTTCCTTTTCCTTTCTTCACCACCTACTTGTGATGCATATGCACTTATTACATTTTATACTTATTTCTCAAATACCAATTTTACCGTAGTAATTACATCACTTTTTCTTTCTACGGTCAACTACCTTACTTTTCTCATCCAATATTACTCCAACCCCATTCCTTCTACTAGTCCTACCTGCATATATTATTTTATAGTCCTCTCCTATTAATTTTGATTTTTGTCCTTTCCACTTAGTTTCCTAAACACAATAACTATTAACTTTCTTCTATTTAAGATTGTGATTGATGTGTACATAAAATATGTAGAAAATCAAAACTAGTGGAGGATTAGGATAAGCGTGGTCAACCCCAAATAGTTGAGAGAATGTCAAAGCAGTAGAAAAAGAAATAAATAAATAGTTTTTAAATTTTTTTATTTATTATTTTAAATATTTATTTATATATAAATGAATGTATAGCTTGAAGTATATGCATGCGCAGAAATTCTGGCAGGGTAGTCATACATAACACATTAATATTTAATATTAACAACAAATTTGGATGGGGTAACTTTATTGAACTTAATAATTATAATTTTCCAATATTTTTATACATGTACTTACTGTTTAGGGACGTTTCAGTGGTTAAACATAATATGGTTATATATGGTATTTATTATTGTGTTAATATTGAATATTTTGTTGAGAAAGGGAAGGTTAACAGAGTAGTCAAATGCCTACCCTGACAAACCCATGCGCACGCTTATGACTTGGAGTATTATTATAATGTGCAATGTAAGACTGATTTCGAATTAAAAATTCATCTAAGCTATATATTCATTTATTTATACAAACTATTTATTTTTATATTATTTTATAATTTTTGTTTTATTTCATTATTTAATTGAAATCTAGTAGTTGATTTGTATTCTACATTTTCATTTAATATGAATTTTAATGATAAATTCCTAATAAAATTATATTATTGAACTATTATACTTATTAAAACGTTATTATAGTTTAAAGATTTTTATTATTATATTTATTTGATTTGTAATGTAGATACCTTTGTGCTAGATCCTTGCTTTATCAAACATAAATGTTTAATGTAATCTGTGATATTAGAATGTATACATATTATATGAAAACAGTATCAATATTTTGTGACAACTATTTCAACTTTTCGAGTTCATCGAAAAAGTTAGGAAGTCTGGACATTATTATAATAACCATGATTAGGTGCTTAGAACCGTTCGTCTATAATTAGTTGTAAATTTGAAAATGATTAATTATGTGTTAAACTACGGCTTAAATTAATGCAACACAATCATTCATAACAGCTGTTACCGTCATTCATGCTTCCATCGGATTCGGTTCGATGATAGTAGCCCGTGGTCTCGGCCCAAGGTTACTGGCTACAGCCAATCGTATAACCATAGAATCATTAGAATTCCGATAGTACGCGCCTCAAAAGGGAACGGACCGCGCAGGTGCCCGTTGTATCATACCGTCTATTGGCGGTTGCTCATGTTTGCACTCTTCATTGGCATTTAATTCAATACTAATAACATAATGAATTATTATTGTTGGACGTGGTTCGGAGGAGTGTGCAAAAAAACCTTACGGCGCCCGAAGGTCAACCGTACGAGTATTTTGTGGTGGTCGAGTATTTCATTAGTTATCGTATCATATTAGTAAAAAAAAATATTACATAAATTATTATTGATGTTTATGTAACGCTTTCATCAACTCGGAGATTACGACTTCTAGCGTATTAGATTTTATATAATTTGTTCATTCCATTGGAAGTACATTTTTGATGAATTCATTTTTAGAAAATTTTCTGTTAAATAAACATTAATTCATTTCTTTCAGGCTAATTTTAATTTCATTATATTATTGAATTGTTCATAATTATAAAAATTTAAATCAAAGTAAAAATGAGTCTCGCAGATATTGTTGGCAAATGTGCTGCCATTGCAACTATTGGAACATTTTTTGCTCCTGTGTAAGTAGCTTCCTTCATATAATGTTACCCATCTATTAAATAATTAGATTTCCTAGTTGGTTGGTTTTAATCACTGTATATTGAAAAGTAGAATTAAAATAAAGTACCTACCTTATAGGTAGCAACAGTTTAGTGTTAATATAATGATGATACATTTATATTAAATAATCAATGTGTCATTTTCCATGTATTTTACAAGTAGTATATAATTTACATGTGATTAAAAAAAAAATTTATTTCCTAGCTTGTCGTGGGATTTTTATAATTAACAAGGTAAATTCAATTAACTCAAAATTGAATCACAGAATACCTATTTGTTTAAATATGCTATAATAAATTAAAATAGAAAAAGTTTTTCCTAAGTATATAGTTTATATTACATTAAAGTGTATTGATTAGTACAATATTTTCATAAAACCAATCGTCTTTTATGATGTATAAAAAAATATATATCCAATTTTAATTATGATAATACTTTTACATAATTTATATTTAAGTACTGAAATTTAAATTATAAAAAAATGAATTAATAACATAATAATGTAGGTAGGTACCTATATATAATTAATACATTGGTTCCTAACATTTTTTAAGTATGGAATCATTTTATTTGTGTGGACCTTATGTCAAACAAAAAACAGATATTCATTTATGTATTAAATATCTTAAACTGAAATACCAGAAATCTTATATATATAAATAAATCGTACCTATATGTATTTTTTTTTATTGATATTTATATAAAACTATTATATATTTAAGAAGAAGAAATTAGGCTATTTGTCCTTAAGTACCATTTTTCAAGTTTTTTCTACCAGTTTTTATAACAAAATTCAAAAAAAAAAAATAAATATTATTTATAATGTATATATTTCCTAAGCAATACAATTAGTTAAAATAATATAATCTGGGTACCTATAGATACATAATTATCTATTATTGTTATGTTAAGTACTAATTACTTATATACATATCACTATGGTAAAACAAATATTTATAAGAGGTAATTGTATTTCAGATATTCTTCACACATACATTTGTTGGTAGTCCATCAGTTGTTTTCGCAAAATACAAATTGAACAAGAAATATTTTTATTAAATAATTAATCAGTAGAATTGTAACACAAAAAAATGAAAAAATAGAAAAAATAGAAGTATCAAGTGAAACATAAAAAATATTTAAAATAAAATAAGTGATTATTTTATTTTAAATATTTTTTATGTTTCACTTGATACTTCAATTTTTCTTGCTTAGCATATAAGGAATCTATATATTATAATTTCTTTGAAAATGCCATAAAATTAAAAACAAATAAATTTTCTTAGTAATATTAATTTTATCTGAGCATTAATATAAATTATGTTGATCTAATCATAGATTTAATTTAACTTTATTATAATCCAAAAAACAATAACAATATCTAAAAGAATTTTACTGTAAAGATAATTGAAAAAAAATTGTTTATATGTAATACTTCTTGTTTCAGTCTTATTTGTAGAGACATTATAAAAAATAAAAGCACAAAGAATATTGATCCTACACCATTTGTTGGAGGTATGGCTATGTAAGTCAATTTTAATATTTCAATTTATTTCTATTTATTCTATTAATTATTATAATTTTTAGGTCCATACTTATGATCAAAAATGGACTGCTTATGAATGACCCTAACATTATACCAGTTAATATTTTTGGATTTGTTTTAAACTTGATTTATTTTTTGGTATTTTTTTATTATACACCTAATTCGGTAAATGAAATATATAATTAATTCATCTAAAACTTATTTTTATCTTGTAATATAATAAATATTATATATTTCTGTAGAGTCCATTGATTTCAATGGTTACAAAAGCTACACTGTTCACTGGTGTGTTGTGGGGATATTCAGCAATTGAAGATGAAAAATTAATTGAACACCGTTTTGGTATTATTCTTACTGCACTTATGTTTGCACTTATTGGATCCCCTTTATTTTCTTTGGTAAATTTACCCTAGCTCTTTATATTGTTTAAAAATATTTTTATTTTTTTATTTTAATATGTGAATAATATATATTAGAATTATATTGTACTTTTTATATAAAATAACATTCATAATGGTTATTCACAAATTAATTTTTAGTTTATTTTATAATAAAACACTCATTTTTTTAAACATCTAATAAGGGCATATTAATTTTATATGGATAAATTAAATTCATAAAATGTATTTTTTTATTTTTGAAGACCTAAAAATACAATGCAAAGTAATCATATTATTAAATGGGTTTGTAATAAAACTGAAAGAAGTTTAATGTGTGTGTGTGTGTGTATGTATATAGGTGTGCACACGGAGCAAGCCGCGACTTGACCAGAATATTTTTGGAGGCATAGCAAAATTTAAACTAACCATTGTAAAATGTTTATATATATTTTAATATGTTCGTGGAAATCAATTAATTGTATTTATATCATTTGATTTTAAAGAATTTAGTTTTTCTTTTAACTTCAAAAATGTCTAATAATTAGCAATATAATACTTGATTCTATGTATAGATATAAATACTACATTGTTTTTAATTTACAATAGAATCTACTATGTTAAAGTGTTAGAAAAAAATTAGGGGTACTGTATTACTGGGTAATAGGGGTATTGGAGCACTAATTGTATTCAGGCTCGACCGGAAGTTGAAGTCTGCTCACACCTATGGTCTTAAAGCTTTAATCAAATGTGACTAAGGAAACTATAAATATGCCATTGCAATTTATTTATAAAATTTATATATTCAAATTTTTATTATAACTTTAATAAAGTGATAATTATATTTAATTGGTTTTAAAGTTCAACTATGTGTCTTTTTGGAATTATTACATATATACTTAATAATATGTGATTATTTATTTTATAGAAAAATATCATTAAAAATAAAGATGCTTCAATGTTACCTTTTCCAATGATTTCTTCTGGTGCTTTTGTTGCATTCCTATGGTTAATATATGGACTATTGATAGACAATGTTTTTATGAAGGTAAATTACAATTCTAAATTTAAAACATTAATGTACTAATAATCATTTTATTTTTAGATTCAGAACATTGTAGTCGTTATATTGTGTTTGATACAATTAGGATTAATATTCAAATATCCTAAACCTGATAGCAAGAAGAGTAATTAATTGATATAGCTGTTATACATACCTTTTTTGTAGCTGCACTAGCATTTATTTATGTATACTGTGATTTTCTTGTAAGTCCTTTCATATATTATTAAGTTTAATCATATATACTTACATTGCCATTGTATTGTTATTGATATTAAATATTGTAATTTTTTATATACCATGAAATGGTATCAAAACTACATAACCAAAAATCAAAATCATTCCAATAGATTATTAAAATTATTCGATAGTTACCTTATTTGTTGTAATTTAATTACATACATTTTTGTTATTATGAAATAAAACTATTGATATAAAGAGATTCGTGTAGTTAATTTCTTTTAAAAAAAATATTTTACTTGGTTATATTTTTAAAAATAATTGAATTATTGGAAATAAATAGACCTCATCAAATATTATTTTATGTTTTCATCTAAAATTTGATGTATTAATGTATTAAGTTAGTCATTGTTGTTATTTCCTTTTTGTATAATTGTATTAGATTATTAAACATTTTAATAATCCAGGGTAATATCCAGTTTTATATAGAATAGTTTAATTTTAAATACACTTTTACAAATATATTTAATTAATTTAACATTTTTGTTAACAGTTTATAATTCAACTTATACAATTTGTAAAATAACATTTCATTTTTTTCTGATAAATTTATAATTTTTTCAAGTTAAATGCATATTTTTTATTTTTCGTGTTATTTATAGCGCATATTATAGAGTTTTTAATTGCATATTTGAGAGCTATAAAGTAAAATTTTTTAGTGCTACAACTTCCGAGCCCTGATTATGTTCAAAATTGGTCTTGGCAAGACCAAGACTAAGACGGTACTGGTCTAGCAAGACCAAGACCAAGATTAGGCTTGCAAGACCAAACCAAAGCTGCAAGACCAAGACCATCACTGGAAGACACTCGCAGTCTTAAATTGCAAATTTTTTTTTCCCCAAAAACACATTAGTTATCTAGATTTCATTAACTAATAATTTATAACGGAAATAATAAGAAATTATTTGTATTGTTATTAATTTGATCATTATTCGAGGAAATGACGAATTATAAAAAAAAATTATTACAAATAATTGGAATTAATCGATGAAAACGTCGAAAGTTGTCTTGCTCATACAATAATTTATGACTTATGTCCATAATACACGTCTATTTTGAACAGAATATAGGTATTAGTAATTGTTGGAAGTCATTACGGACTACGGTAGATATCATTTTGATTGAAAGTACGTTTTTAGCTTGTGTATTTTTCCTATACTAGACATTGTTTACTAGTGTCTTATACATGGACGGACATCTGGGGGGGGAGGCTTATCTAAGTTGTGACTAGCGTTTCCCCGCAATAAGGCATTTGGCTAGCTTATCATAAAATAACGTTATCATAGTTTTATAAATTCTTTACATTTGGTGAATATAAATTATATTATGTCCTAATGTATAAGTTAGGTAGGTAGTAGAGCAAATGAATAGTTGTAATGGAGACTAGAGTTATTAAATATAATTACTTTATTAAATATTAATTAATAGAAAAAATGTAGTTATTTTTTTACAAGAATGGAATTAAAGGTATTCACTCTTAATATATTATATAACCTATTAATACCATATTTTATCATTTGCTCTTCTCTTTGTAATTTTAGTTTTCTTTTGGCATATCCACTGAGAAGTGCCATTTTAAAATTAATTTAAATATTAAATATATAAGATAAAATGTATAAATACTATAAATTTTATAAATATTAACGGAGGTGACCTAGGTGCCCAATCAGAGACCATAATATAATTTTATATTTCTATAAGAATCAATATAATGACAATACCTTCGCTCAAAGTATTTTTAAAATAGACATACAAGTATACAGTAGTCACTGTCTAGATATGATAAGATCAACTTGACATTGTAGTATAGTACCGGTATTTAGCTATAAATAGCAATTATTTCCTAATCGATCATTTAAATTTAGTTACAAGTTACATTACTTAGATAATAATTAAAACCCGATGTATTTGGTTTTATTTGCGTCATATTTAGGTAATATTAAAAATTTGGTAAAAATTAAAAGCAATCATATAATAATGAGCCCCTCTCAATACTTTAGATGGGCCGGCCTAAGGCCGGATACATATTAGGGTGGGCTAGACACACCCTGGCCCTCCTTTAGCTACGTGCCTGCCTACCTACCATATACATTATTACATAATTTAATTTATATTCATTAAATGTAAAGAATTTATAAAACTACATTATAATATACCTAATAGTATATTAATATATACCTTTTAGTCAAAAGAGATCTTCTAGCTCCTACATTTTACATTTTACAATTTGAAGTTATGATAACGTTCTTTTATGATAAGCCAGCCAAATGCTTTACTGCGGGGCAGTGTTGCCAAACATGGTCATCTAAAAAATGGACAAAAATCCTTAAAAGATGGTATTTTTAAAAAAAAAATCATACTTAAAAATTTTTTTTCGTAAATTTATACTAATCAATCATTGTCAATAATTTGTAAGTATAAACTAATCATAAATAATACAATTTTATTATTTATGACTTTATTTTTAAATTTAATTAATATACTTATCGGTTGTCGCAGCTATCTGATTATGTGGTACATTACGCGTGTAGTCGCAATTTAACACTATAGCGACTTTTAATGATTGGCACTGTCACTGTATAATATTAATATGAAAATAATATATATTGATATATTTTACTTATAATTAAGTGTATTATAATCAATTTTAACAACAAAAAAATGTACGAATATAATAATTAGGATTTTCATAATTTATTTGAAGTAGAAAATGCTAGATTTGAAAACAAATTTATTTAATTTATAAACTCAACGAAAAAACTTAACAAAAAAAGTTAAGACTTGCTGCATTTGCTCAGGGTCGTCGTAACGCTCCTCTAGTCGAAAAATATCACTTAATATACAATGAAAAACTACCTCATTTAGTAAATTATAACTAATAAATAGTATAATATATTTATAATTTTCTTACCTGGAGTATATTTTTAATAACCAGCATAACTTACTGCATAATTAGGTAGTCATTATAACTAATATAATATAACCAAAATAAAATTCATTGGTAGTAAAGAACTTTACACAATATTCACAATTTAAAATATATATTCACAGTAGGTAAAAACATTATACTTAACAAAGAAAAATATAACTTAGTTTTCAACAAAATTAACATGTAAGTAAAAATATAAATAAAAAAAAAATATATTAGGTTTATCAAAAAAGAATCTTCAGTTTTCGACAAATTCAATACTATTATCAGTTTCTTTGTTTATGTGGTTGTATATATTCGAATTTACCATGCCTATCATTGTTTTCGTTATGTTTATTTGATGGCATTCAGTTTTCTTAGTAAATTCTTTGGCACACAAAATTCCATTTAAAGTTGCAGTGTTTAAACAATTTCTTTGTTTAGTTTTTATTAGATTAATTTATGAAAATATGCATTTAAAAGACACATTCGATTGGGGCAAAGTAAAAATTAGAAATATCTTTAAATGGTTATTGATCATCTTTTTCGAATGAATTGAGTTTTATCCAGAAATCTTCTACATTTAAATTTATTTATTACATTAAACATCCTCCAGCTAGTATCGATATTTTGATTATTTTGTTTAATCCTTGGAAATAAATTATTAAATGTAATTAAAGAAGCAGATCGGTTTTCATTTAAGACTTTTTTAGGAGTAATATTTTCCAATTGTATTAAGGGGATTCCACACTATCGCTTATTAGAGTAAAATAGACCTATACGCGTTCCAACGTACCAACTTGAGTTTTACTCCTATAATAATTTTAAAAACATATATTAATTTATTATGAAATCTATTTTGAATCCTTCGAATCAGAATCATAAAAAAAGAATTTAAAAAATATTTATATCCATTTAAATTTTCAAGAATATAAGATTTTTTTTCTAAATTTCAAGTGAAGTTTTTTCTTTTTAAGAATAATAAATTAAAAATGTGGCTCGAAGGATCCAAAGTTGATTGAACAACAAAACAAAATTTGTTTTCAAAATTATTATAGGAGTAAAACTCAAGTCTGTATGTTGGAATTCGTTTAGGTCTATGATTTACAATATTTCGTCATGAAAAAGATTCGTTGTTGGACATTATGTGTCATGTGCATGCGAGTGCGCAACGCTTATCTAGCTCGCCGCCGCCGTCGCGTACGTCGCTAATGAATTATCGGAAATCTAAATATAATAATATGTTCATATAAAAATAAAAATATACTACAATCCGATTATTACCGATAGGCGATAATGATCGAAGATAAAATTATTGCCGCCGTCGCGGACTATATTATTATATTATATTGTGTACATGGCGCTCGCGCATTCACGCTCAAATATAATTATTTACATTTACTTTATGTTATTATAATATTAGATGATATTGTCAGCCATCAAGTCGATTATCAGATCTTTATTTTTTAGTGCACCTATAATAGTAGCATATAGTTGTGTAGTTATATAGTTATAGTTGCACTTAGTTTTTGTAAATCCAAAAATTTTCCAATTTTTTAAAATGGGAAAATTTAAAAAAAAGTGTTTGTCGAAACGAAAAAAAATGAAAGGCAATATATTAAATTTCCAAAAGAAAACAATGGAGATATCAAACGACGGCTTAGTTGATTTGTAAGTTAATTTATATTGAATTATTTATTTTAAGTTTTGAGTGAAGCAAGTTTGTGTTATGCTATACAGTATGTCTCAAAATTCCAGTACGACCCCGAGGATCTCGACACTAACTCAATATTTTTGAATGAGGTTTTTTCGAAAATAAACCATGGTAAAAATTCCAATTTCAAATTTTTTGTTCAAAAATTTAAAATTGTTATTGTTAAATTTTCATAATAGCAATTTTTTTTTACTTTTTTCCAAAAGTAAATTAAAAAAGCGTGGTCAAGTGAGTAACGCTTTGCTGTATAGTATGGTCACTACTAATGTATTAAATTTGAAACCAATGATAGGTATCACGATTCTGAACGGAGATGATGATTTATTGTCATCCTAAAATATATTTCCCAGTGGGTAGTGAAAAAGATGGTTTATGTTTTAATGATCTGAATAACCCTAAATTTAAATTCTTTTATAATTATTGTAAACCAAACTTATGGAAAATCTTATATTAAACTTTCAACTCTTAGCTACTTATCGGTATACAAATTTTTTATAAATTTTAATTATAAAATAATTTGCAAATATTCATGATTTTGACGAATTTTTGTCAATATTTGAACTTCAAATGCTATTAAAAAAAATTGTGCCTAGTATTCTTAATTTTTTTTAATCACTATAAGAATAACTAATGAGGAACTTTGTAGTATTAATTTTTCAAGTATTTTGACTTTCAAAATTTTTTTATCGATATTTATAAAAAAAAAAAACTAAACAAAAACGAATATTACAAATGCCTATAAATAGCATTAAAATGAATGAAATATTTTGAAAATTAAATTATGTAAAGAAAATGCCAATCTAAATAATTGGTGAAATTTTCAAGTATCTACGAAGTATATACTTATTGAATAATAACAAATATTTAAAATCGTTTGAGGATAAATCGTTATTGTTACGAGATTTCGTAAAAATTTTAAATTCAAACGCTCATAACATTTTTCTTATAATGACGCTTCGAGTTTTCTCTATAACGTTTTGAAAGAAAACTTATGGAAAACTTAGAGTTAAATTTTTTTAACCTTAGACACAAATAAAACATTTTTTATGAATTTTCAACTACAAAATTACTTGTAAATTGAAGCATTATTTTGACAAGTTTTGCTGTACACAGACACAAAAACAAAAAAACACATATCAATGTAAAATCAATACATCCATCACTCGTTCAGAATCTAAAAAACAAATATTGAAATTGATTTAAAATTAACCTTAGTTACAGATCGTTTAGTTTTTTAGAAAAATACAAAAAAAAAATAGTATTTATCTAGATCAAATGCTAATTTATTCATAAAATTTCAAGAATGTATTTATTAGATTAAATTCATTAGTTTTTATCTTTATAACTATATAGAATCTCTAACTCGGCTTCGAATAATTCCATCCCAACTGCTGTAAAAGAAAACATCCATGGAAAATTTTCAAATACATTTACTCCAGACGATATGACGTTGGCTGTACCGTTGAACAATGTACATGATGTTTCAAAATATAAATATATATATATTAAAATTTCTTGATAGAAAAAGTACTGTTGAGTAACAATAATTTTATTTTATTATAATTAATTTTGTGAGTTTTTTAGTATTATAATAAATAATGCATAAATATTAATTATTGATAGTTATTAGTATGACCATTGACTGTAGATAATCTATGATATACTATCTATAATCAATGGTATGACCAATACTTAAAAGCGGAATAAATCATAACGATAATATACTGGCACAGTTTTAAATGGTCATTAGAGCGCTCGTATTAGTCGTATTGATAAAGATAATAAAAATAATAATAGACGCGACACACTGCACGTCGGTAATCGGCGACGCAGTGGAACGATAGATGGGTTGCAGTGCAGGAAAGTCACTCACACTAATGATCATTTACTACACACAAACATACACGCCACGCACGCACGTATTTACAAAATGTCTAAAAATTGCCTATAGTCAACTCCTTAAAAATGGTCGGTATGGAATCCCCTTAACGTTTAAACTCAATAAAGCGATGATTAAATAATTGATTTTAGCTATGAAACTTACATTAATACTTTTTAATACTTTTTTACTTAATTTTGAGAATAAGAACCAAAGATTTTATAATGGACACAGTGGTGGATCCAGGATTTTCTTTTTTTTGTGGGGGTGGGGTTAAAAAAATGTTTTCCTTGGAATTTTTTTATAACATTATAGTCAGTGATTGATAATGAATTAAGATAGTATGTTAGATAATACATTCATTTAAATCTAAGACTACTGATTTCTATTGAATAAAAATACGAATTTATTACTTTCTCTCAGAATTTAAAAAAAAAAATCTTTTTCTTAATTCGTAAAATAATTGATTTTTAATATATAATTTTCCTGACTTTTGGAGGGGTTAACCCCCCATCACCGTGGATCCGCCACTGAATGGGCAAAACATACAGGCTGGATGATACGATTAAATCATGCCATATGTAATATCACCACTAGTAAAATTTTAAATCATTAATGTAAAAGCATATTGGTATAATGTGTGTGTATTTAATAGAGCCTCAATACAGAATTCGTTAAATGGGGTCACAGTTGATTTCTGGAACTACTATAACATTTTATCAAATGTTTGGTGTCTGATTGTTTAATTATCTTAATTTTTTACTCAAGATTTCATAATGAATTATACAATTGTATGAAATCATAAATTATTATGTATAAAATAATGGAAATAAAGAACAGAGTATTTGGATCGAAATTGTATATTCCCAAATAATTTTCTAATAAGAGTAATTGATGGCCTTTTAATATTTTAATAGCAATTAAACAAAAAAATATACATCCACTTTTCTGAATTATAATAACTACTCATACTAATAAAATAATAAAATTTAGTTGATGCTTTTCTGATGAGTAACATCATCAAACCATAAATTAATGTCAACAATTTGAAAATAAAATATATTTAATAATTGGTCAGCCATGTAGATAGATACCACATAAAATATAAATTACTTATTAATATGTTAGATAATGCATTAAACTTTAATATTAAATGAAATTATATATGTAATTATAAGAATAGTTATAATGGGAAAAGGTAAAATAAATACTAGATTTATAATTTATTTTAATTTTAATTAATATAAAGGTAGTTTAAGTACTTATAATAATAATAATAAAAAAAAAAAAAAATTATTAATATAAATTAATAAAAACATTTAAGTATAAAGTAAGTAGTAATAATTTGTAATAAGCCATGATAGCTAATAGTTAAAAGCTAATAAGTATTATGTATTAGCATAAATACTTAATAAAAATCTATTTGCAAGTTAAAATTAATATGAAAAATTTCTATAAATAAATTAAATTAAAAACCTTAAAATAATTAAGTACATCAATATAAATATATTTATTCGAATAAGGCTTTGACAATCGTTAAATGTATATACTTAAAATTAAAAAGTAAGTTAATCAATGATTGCTGAAGAAACCATTTGATTAACACCGCAAGATCCATCACCTCGGTAAAGCAGGTAGTATCCCTAAAACAAATATTAAACCATTAAAACTCATACTTAATAAATAATATATTTAAATAATTCAATAACACAAAGAAAAACAAAAATATTTTGGACTATTTTTTTTTATAGTTTTTAAAAATAATGCATCTCAGAAATATTACTAAAGAATATTATAAAAAACTGCACAATATATCTAAATCTTTGGAGTGGTAGTTCTATGTTATGGTTAATATAACAAATAGTTTATTAAATTTGGTTCTAAATTTCCAATACATAATTTATTTTATTAAAACAATTATAAATAATGGCTGAATAATATTTTAAATTATTTCCAAACTTTTTTCTTCGCATTAAAACTATGATCAAATTTCGATCTTTAAATACATTATAAAAAAAAAAAGACTTGAAATAGATTTATAACCCAACAAAAATAATAGTTATACAAAATGAATGAAAATAAAAATATTCTTTACTTTTCTAGAAAATTAAAAAAGTAGTTTACTATTAATTAAATAATGCTATGGTCATTAATTTTAACAAACTTTTTACCTGAATTCCCCATTTGTCACCCCAACTGTTTTTAATAGTCCAAAATGGTAAAGATACATTTAAATAAGAATATTCTGAAAAAATATAAAACATATTACAATACATTTATATTTAACTTACATTTTCTCCCCATCCAGATCCCCAACTATTTTTTATCAACCAATATGGTAGATTTTTGTGAGTATATTTTGTTTCTAAAATAAAAGTATTACATTTTTACATTAAATATTTTGTAACTTTAACACTTAATTTGTAATAAATTTAATTTAAGTTATTAATTATTATATTATGAGATAGAATATATTTATCTTACTATGAACTCCATATCCAACAACTGTAACACCATGATCAAGTGATTTAGGACTGCATAATGCATGAATTGGGTGGGATACTCCTCCCATATAAAACTACAGTAAAAAATAAATTAGTAATTAAATTAATAACTGAATTACATTAAGAGTGTGTTCAATCATTTATATCTATAGATTAATAAAATAAAAAATAATCATTATAAAATGTATTGATTATTTGCTTTGCTTAGAAAAAAAAAGGTGAGATTATAATAATATTTTTATTATACCTGCATAGCATTTGCATTAACTCCAACTGAAAGAGGTCCGTGTTTAAATAAAAATTGGGCTATATCTTCTTCATTTGTAGATACATTCACAGCTTTGGATATTGATACTTTCAATTCTTTTTTTTTTAACTGACAACCTTTACGGTCTGCATGTGCTTCATATGGATAATCAGATTCTGTTTCTAGACCCCCTAAATTTTCAACAGCTTCAAATGCTTGAGTCATTAAACCACCACCACATCCATTATCCAAATCATCACAATCAATCAGTTCTATAAAAACAGAGTTATTATAATTAAGATAAACATATTGAAATGCAAAATTAGTTAAATAACCTTGTTCTGATAGAGATAAAAGCTCTCCAGATTTCAAAGCATATTGTCCTTCAATATTAGCAATGGCTGAAAATGCCCAACAAGATCCACATGATCCCTAAAATTACAATATTTTATACTATTACATCAAATATTGGTCATAAGTAAAATATAAAATAGACAAATTTTTAAGTTATTTGCAAAGTTAATGGATTATACATTTTTATCAAATATATTTTATATACACATTAATATTTTTGAAATAATTATTCCTGTTATTTTTATCTAATTATATGTTTTTTATAATTAGTCTATTGATACGTTAATATTTTTATTTTTTTAAATTTTTCATATTGAGTCATGATTTTATTGATTTTGTAAATACCAGACAATGAATTTTTAATCTAAAATCAGTCATACTTCACAAATATAATAATACTCTAGACCAGTGCTTCCCAAACGTTTTCGACTCACGGCGCCCTTTTTGATTTAAGGTTTTTTCAGGGTGCCCTTCTCTAAGTCATAGCATGAATAATCATAAGGAAAATGTTAGTCCCAATAGTATTTCATGACGACGCGGCGCCCTTATACAAACATCGCGGCGCACACTTTGGGAACCTATGCTCTAGACTATTATTTATTTATATATTGATTATTATTTATTCAAGATAATTTTATTAGTCATTAAATACCTGATTTTTAACTGGTGTAACTGCATTGTGATCTCTCCAATCAAATTCATCAGGAATAGAAACATCATATGAAATTTCTGCCATAGGTAACGATTTTTTACTTTTCATCGATGGATTCAATCCCAAGTACTTTTTCTTAAATTCATTTTCTAACAGTAAATAACCATTCATTGTTAATAACAATAATAATTTTTAATATAATTATTGCTATAACTTATAAGCTGTTTATAACAATTTTCAAATATTAAATAAAACATTTACTTCAACAAAAAAACTTTTATTTTGTAAACTAAAATTATTCTTACTAAGAATATATTAAGATAAATTTTAGATACATGAATGATAAACTAATAGCTTTAACATAATTGTGAACAATTATTTGGACAATCGTTCATGAACTGATTATATAGGTACCATTTGCTTTTATATAAATAATTGTACAAGTACTAATGTAATATAACACATTCCATTAAATAAGCAGGTAAAATATATTAAGATTTGATCCAATAACAGAGTATAATAACAGAAAACATTAAAACAAATTATTATGGTAAATTATAATTATAATAGTTAAAGTTTGATGGTACTATTTACAATTCATAACTGATGACATAAATTATAATTGTTAGTTAAACATTATATAAGTATATAATAAATTACTTGTTAGATCTGAAAATTGTGTAGCTCCATAAATAGCAGTTCCTTGTTCATTATCTTGTAATAATTTTACTCTTTTCATATTGGCAGCAAATATACGAAATCTCTTATTTTTTTCTTCAAGACTAGGGTACAACTTATTATGTACATTCATAAAATCCTCAAATTTAGTCTTTAATTGGAATCTATCATCAAAGTTAAGTTTTTTTGTTGTTTCTTTTGCCTATATAATTAATAATCATATTAGCTATTAATCTATATATTATATTAAATGGAAATTCAAATTAATTTTGTTTTTAATAAATAAAAAGTCAATAGTCAATAACCTATCTGGTTTTCAATTCAATACAGCAAAATACAGGTAACTTACAGCCTAGAGGTCTCATACTCTTTTTTTCCAGTCATGTTATATTTTCAAATGTTCGTATTTAAAAATAAAAATATTGCAACAAAATTGTAATAATATAAATTAAGTTAGGTTAGTTTAATACTGAATTAAATGAGGTATATAATATAAAAAAATAGATTATATGTATATATTTAAAAATTATCTATACATATAAAATCCAAATATCACTCACTCACTGATCGCTGTATCTCAAAAACTACGCAACGTATGGACTTGAAATTTGGAATAGAGGTTCTTCTCATATTTTCACCGGGCAATATGAAAGGATTTTCAAAAATGTTGTGTTTTAGTGGATTAATTAACAATTATAATTATTCACCGCCAATACGTATTATGCGGCACGGCGGCCCACAGGTTTCCAGCTACCTGCAACCTATCCTTTTTGTCCATCGTCGTCGTCGTGTAAATAAGAATAATTGTTCAAGAAGTTTATCGATAAAAATAATCTCAGCGTATACCAATACTCATATTATATATATAGTAGAAATATAAAATCCAAATACCACTGACTCACTGATCACTGAATTTCAAAAAATATTCAAGGAACGCGCCTGAAATTTGGAACAGCCTTTCACTGTGTAATAAGAAAGGATTTTTCAAAAATCGCATATTTAAGGATTGAAACAGTTTTGGACTGGATGCATACATTTTTAAATTTTTGGTTACCTAGGAAATATTTGATTTTTTTAATATGTTGATTTTAATAATCACCGATTAAGAATTATCTAAATTATTAATCTGTATAATAACATAATGGAATCCATAATTTTAAACGGAAAATTTAAAAGTGAACATGTACTATTACCACGCATACCAATAACTCCTACAGATAAGCCATTTGAATTCAAACTTTTGCAGTTTCTAGTGCGCCTCGCTTTTGTAATGATCTTTAACAAATTACAAGGACAATTAAAACAAGTGTGTGGACTGAATTTTGAAAATTCATGCTTCTCACATGGATAACTCTGTGACCTGCTTACGCGTTAGAAAACCTGATTTATTTGTGTACACGACACAAAAGGAAAAACAATAAATATTGTGTAAACCAAATACACTTTAATAAATAGCATTTATTTGAAACCTCGAATTTTCATATTTTTCTAAATAAAATGAATAAATAAAAAAATAATAATCCAAAATAAATTGAACATTGTTTTAAGGATATTAGTATATGCTTAATTATAGTAAACGGTACAGCAAGGCGTGATAATGTCTATATTTAATATTTAATTATTATAATACATAACAAATTAATATTTTAACCGTTATTTCGGGTGATTTACACACTTAAAAAGTCGTAGGTTCAACGGTAACACCCAAAAAGAGTTGAACACTCACAATTTTCTCAACGGACGTCTGGTATTACTAACTTAGTGATCATTGCTACATCTCAAAATTATATGAACTCGAAATTTGACATGGTTGGTCTCTTCAATATTCAATACATGCAATAAGAAGGAATTTTAAAAAATATTGGAACCAGAAAATACGGTAATTCAGTGTATCACCAAAATTACTAGACTGATTCATTTTAACTTTCTTTTTATTTGTTTTATAACCACCAACAGTTACACCAAACTTGGCTTTAAATAGTGTAAAGTAATAATCCATTAAAATGTATGTTACGGCCAAAAATATTCCGGGCGAAGCCGGGTAATTTAGCTAGTAAAACTATAGTATGAAGGTAATGCGAGTTCAGTCATATTACAAAATGAAAGGGAGGAAATAAATATTTTAGATTGTGTTAACCATTAAATTATAATGGTACACATTTAAAATAATACCTTAAACTTTATTTAAATAACTAAAGATAAAGTAAATAAGTAAATAATAATATTTAAGACAAATTATAACTCACAGAATTTGTTACTTCTACCATAGATTTTAAATGTTCATCACAGTTCATTTTTGTTATAGTATGGTTTTTCAACCATGATTGTTCCCATACATTAATATTACATATTTTACATTTCTATAATAAAAAAATAATATAAATATTAATTGTTAAAAAATGTATAATAATTGATAAAAATGTAATGAAACAACTATTATATTGAAAAAAAAATATATTATTTTTCAACTGTTGAAAAAATGAAAAAGTAAAAATGAGTTTTTTAATTTCACCTTCTCATCATTTTTACTAGCAGAATTCTCACATATTTCCAACTCAATATAATATATAATTCCAGAAACAATCTGCAATATTAAATTATGCATACTAATTATTTAATTTCAATTTAATATAATTATTTATAAATATAAAAAAATAATGATAATACTTGTTCATCACCTGTTTAGAAACATTTATAATTTTTGATAATATATGTGATTTTCCTGATCCTTCTTGTTGATTTACGGATAATAAAGCATAAGCGACTATATCCTGAACGTTTTTATCATCAGAATTCAAATTTATTTTAGTGCCAAGTTTTTTATTTTCATGGATGTCCTATTAAAGATTAAATATATTTATTTTAATTTAAAAATAATATTCTATAATTTAAATTAATATAACCCTTTTAGATACAGCAACTTTTGATAGTGAAGTCATTTCAGAAGGTTTGGAACAAGCAACTTTTGTGACATTTGTATTATTTGACCATGCTTGTTCCCAGATAATTACATCACATGTACGACAACTCTATAAAATAAAATATGCAAATTAACTACCAACGATTTAATGATAAAAATTAATTTTTTAACAAAATATAACCATACTTCGTAATCCATAACAATGTTTTCTCTTTTGGTTGAATCTGTTTCACATACCATTAAATTTATCTTATAATTTATTCCTGCAACTACCTGAAAACAAAGTTAACAAGTATATATTAAAATTTTACTTTTAATGTCTTTTAAAATATGATAATAATATACTTGAGTTTTAGCAGAAATAACTCTGATTAATCCTAATGATCTTTTTGACATTGTTTGTTGGGTGATAGAATCTAATGAAAAAAGAGCCAAATTTTTTATTTTTTCACTATCAGCATCAATTGAAGAATAACCTCCAGGTGGTGATGGCTGTATAAAAACAATAAATAATCAACATTAAATTATATACAATTTGTTGAATTAATATGATACAAAGGCATTCATAAAATTATAAAATTTTAAAGCTGACTAAATAATAAGTAATGGAAAATTTTGAACATGACCTTCTGTTATTCAATTATATGTTATTTAATCATTTAAAATGTCACTAAGCCTTCTCCCCTAGGTAAAATCAAACAAAGATTAAAAATTTAAGGTAATTAATATTAATAAAAGGTGAAAATGTACAAAATAAAATTTATTGAAAACTTGATATGTAATTTAAATAAATTTAATATGTTACATTCCACATAAATTCATATTGAAAATAGCCTTTAATGATAAATGTATACTAATTATTTTATTCATATTCGAATAAGTACAAAATATGTGTTTTTAAGATTACATTTTTTAAAATATATATTTTTTTTTTAAAAAATAGCTTAAAAAATACAAAAATATAATATTACTTGACTTAAATTTGACGATAAAAATCTATTGGAGAACATTTTAAAAAATATATCAGAATTTGGATGATTATCATATTTATTTTAAATACTTATATCAAAAATCTGATTTTATATTATATTGCAATGATGGAAGTATTAATGATATATATATATTACATTTTTTTGAGATTATCCTAGTTGGTATATTTATCTGTATACTAATCAAAAGTACAATATGTATTTGAAAATGTATATATTAATTTTATAATTAATTGTTAACAAAAATTTAAAAAAAAAAATTGAAATTAAATTTTAACAATAATTAAAAATAATGAACGATGCCTCAATATTAAAATTAGACTTTTGAATACATTGAATAAGACATTTTTTGATAATTTAAAACATGATATAATATTGAATTCTATAAACAAATAAAACTAATTGCTCTTTTAAATAGGATATAGATTTAATGACAATTTTACAAACCTTATGTATTTGAGCAGAAACATTTTCTAGGAGGAAAACAATACAGAGACAAAATCCAAGAAATAATAATTTCATTTTGGATCCTAAAATTGTATTTTCTTATTTATATAACATAAATGAAAATCTTTATGGAAAGAAAATATTTAATAAAACAATGAAGACAACTTAGACAACTATAGTATTAACATTTACGTTTTAACGTTTATATATGAACAATTTTTATTCATTTCTTAAACAGCTTCCTTCACTTAATTAATTAGTTCGCAAATACGCAATACCCCCATATATGAACTCTGACCACTGAGCAGTCTTTCCATAACAAACTACTGATAACACAAGTAAGACAATAACATTTTATTTTTATTGATCTTTTGTTTCATATAGAGGAACACGGCCTGCCGATAGTTATAGGCACTATGATATAGGAGCGTCTAAACACAGGAATGCACCTTATACATTCTGCGCTTGCGCGTAATTTATTCGCCGCTATCATGTTGGCTGTTATCGATATATTATATCAAATCATGGTAATACGATAATAATATTATTATAATATTATGAGATTTGAATCAAAGTATTCAAAATTTGCACATACTACATACGTATTTTATACTACTTTGACCATTTCAGTAAATAAATCATTATATATACCAGATACATTTGAAAAAAAAATCAAAACAGCAATAACTATCTAATATGTTGAAATGGCTTTTATTAATGTTTATTTATATCTACATTTACCCAATTACCTATTTGAACATTTCATAAACCAAACTTTATCAAAATGTATTACACAAAGGCTATTTATTAAATATTTTATTAAGTATAAACAATACAATTGACAAAAATCTTAAACATAAAAATTCAATATTACCTACTATCTATATAAATGACATTATCTTAATAGTACAGTGGCGTATTTGAGGGAGGCGATGGGGGCAATCGCTTCTCACCCCCGAGAATTTTTAGACCAAGACAATTTTTATATAAGTAATGGGTATTGTATTTTAATTACTATAGTAAATGATTATATTAAACAAATAACATTTTTTAATTTTAAAACAAAGTAAACCAACAATTCCTATGTATTTAGAAAAATAATTCATAAATATGCAGATATAAATGTATATGACATAGTATATACTTGGATTCGGGGTATAGAGCTAAGACTAAAGTAGTTAATAATCTATTCACACATTTTTTTTTTTTTTTTTAATTATACATTTTTACAATGTCCCTCTCATTTAAAGTTTTTTTTTCATTAAAAATAAATAATTACAAATCAATCTATATATACTAAAAAAAAAAAAATAATAATAGAATAGGTAAGTTATTTTAATTGCACAAATTAAGTAACATGACATCAGTCTATGTTCTCACGTCGTTGCGAACAGTCGTGTATCGTTTTTAGTGCCTTTGCCGAGTCTCTATATATATATATATATACATACACATATTTGTTAATTTCTAATTGGTTCGCTTTATCCATGTCGTCGTCTTCGGGCGGCGGCTCTTGCGCCGGCCAAAGTTCGTCAACGAACAAAATAAAACCGACAACTCACAATAAAAGCTCGGGATCCAGTTCTGATTTTTCACTCGTCTCTTACTCACGAAAGTCTAAAGCTAAAACAAATCCAACCAGTCCCGTATCTACAGTTTTACAACAAATAATGGATAATCCACCGGTTCTAAATACATCAAACACTGCTTTCAATTATAACATACCTGATAACGCGCACGAGCCTATTATTGTTGATGATGCTATTAACGGCAACGACCGATCTAATGTGCCCGCCTCACCTATCACGTTATCTACAGATATAACTATGCCATTAAAAACCCAAAACCCGGCTATCGATAATAATAATATTAATGCTTGACTCTGATATTTTTCACCGACCAAAACAAAAATTCAGGGAATTTGCACTCGGTCAAAATAGCAAAATTCTTTTCTACCAACTTCACTGGTATCACCAATATTAAAACAGTTGGCTCAAAAAAAGTTAAAACTACTTTCAATTCAATCACCAACGACAATCTATGCCCAAGTTCTAAAATCCCGAGTGATAATGGTTTCCAGGTAAATATACCTG